ATATATCTGTCAAGTCCACTTGGTCCAGTGTATAATTCAAGTCCATTGTTTCTTTACTGATTTTCTGCCTAGACCATCTGTCCATCACTGTAAGTGGAGTATTAAAGTCCCCTGCAATTACTGTATTCTTATCAGTAAGATTGCTTATGTTTTTGATTAATTGATTTATCGATTTGGGCTCCTTCAAGTTGGGAGCATAAGCATTTACAATTATTAGCCCTTCTTGATGGATAGACCCTATAATTATGATGTAATTCCCTTCTTCATCTCTTGTTACAGTCTTTAGTTTAAAATCTAGTTTGTCTGATATAACTGTGGCTACTCCAGCTTTCTTTTCACTTCCACTAGCATGATAGATGGTTCTCGATCTCCTCACTTTCAATCTGAAGGTCTCCTCAGGTCTAAAATGAGTCTCTTATAGACAGCATATAGATGGATCTTGTTGTTTGTTTGTTTGTTTGTTTGTTTATCCATTCTGATATCCTATGTCTTTTAATTGGAGCATTTAGCCTATTTGCATTCAGAGTTATTGTTGAAGGATATGGATTTAGTGTGATTGTGTTATCTGTAGGTTTCATGCTTGTCATGATGTCTCTGGTTCTTTGTAGTTTTTGCAGCGTTCCACTCAGAGTCCCTCTTAGGATCTCATGCAGGACTGATTTACTGTTCATAAACTCCTTCAGTTTTTGTCTAGGAAAGCCTTTATCTCTCCTTCTATTCTGAATGACAGCTTTGCTGGAAAAGATTCTTGGCTCCTTATTTTTCTTTTTCAGTACATTGAATATTTCCTGCCACCCCTTTCTGGCCTGCCATGTTTCAGTGGACAGGTCTGCTACTACCCTTATGTGTCTAATCTTGGAGGCTAAGGCCCATTTGTCCCTAGCTGGTTTCAGAATTCTCTCTTTCTCTTTATATTTTGCCAGTTTCACTATAATATGCTGTGGAGAAGAGCTATTTTTGTTAAATCTGAAGGGAGTTCTCTATGCCTCCTGGATTTGGATGTTTGCCTTCTTCCCCAAATTAGAAAAGTTCTCAGCTGTAATTTGTTCAAGTAAGCCTTCTGCTTCTTTCTGTCTCTTCTTCTTCTGGAACTCATACGATGCGGCTCTTGTGTTTCATTGAATCATTTAGTTCTCTAATTCTCCTCTCGTGGTCTAATATCTTCTTATCTCTTTTTTTCTAGGCTTCATTGTTTTCCATAATTTTATATTCTATCTCACTTGTTCTCCCCACTGGCTCCTATATCCCGGCTCCACTGCATCTAGTTTATTTTGCACCTCGTTTATAGCATTTCTTAGTTTGTTGTGACTATTTCTTAGTTCCTTGATCTGTGCAGCAACAGATTCTCTGCTGTCTCCTATGCTTTGTTCCAAGCCCAGCTATTAACTTTATGACTATTATTCTAAATTCTTGATCAGAGATATTGTTTATATCTGTTATGAGCAATTCTCTAGCTGTCATTTCTTCCTGGAATTTCTTTTGGGGAGAATTCTTCCATGTCATCATTTTGGCTAGTTTTCTGTCCCTTATGTGTTTTAATAGCTTATTATGTGTCCTGCACCTACATGCACTATTATACTAAAAAGGGATCATACGCTGTCCCTGGCCTGTCCCTTCATGAGGTGCTCTTTGGAGCATGTTGTGTGCTGCTGTCTGTTGTTGGGACTCTTGCTGCTTTATCTCCCTACTCATAGTGGTGGTTTGGGCCTTCCACCAGGTGTGCTTCGATCTGTTCGATGAAGAAACCTTGGAAATTTTTTGAAAAGGGGTTGGGAATAGTGGAAGCCTTATACCATACAAAGAGAGAAATTACAGGAGTGGGAGAAAAGAAGAGAAAAGAAATTGACCAGGCAGAGAATCAGAGAAACTGTATGGCTTAATCCACAAAGAGAGAGAGGAAAATAAAGAAGGAGATACAGAAAAGGTGTAAAAAGAATAGATTAAAAATGTCTGTTTAAACAAAACAACCACCAGAATAAGCAGAATAGAGAAGGAATAAGAGACAGAAAAGGAAGGAAAAAAAATATATGTTTATGTGTGTGTGTGTGTGTGTGTGTGTGTGTATTCCAAGAATCAAATCAGAAAATGCAAAATCGGTGGACTGATATCTGATGGGGCCTGGGAACCAGTGGCTGTGTTGGTCCGGTGGAGGGGCCCTCTGGTTTGGTCACACAGAGGGGCGTGGTTTGGTGTAGGTGGGTCCTGCCTCCACTATGGGCCCCGCCTCCATTATGGGCCCCCTGTCCCCACCGTGTTGGTGATGGGGTGAAAAATAGCAACACACCGGTCTCCTGACCCTCCCCACCCAAGTGTCCCGAACCACTCGGTTCAGGCTGTCCTCACAGTGCCCCGGGCGGGAGCGGGCCACTTTGTCCTGCTCCACAGTCTCCTGTGCCTCCCAGGCACTGGGCTGGAGGCCATTAACCTACCACAAATAGCAGTAGGTAAAACTGGAAATGCTGAATTCTGGCCCCACCTGGGACCTACTGAATCACAATTTGCATTTCAAAAAGACTTACCTACACACTAAATTGAAGCGCAGTCCCATGGGGTCCTACATCAAGAATTCTCTTATGACTAATTGAGTCCCCACATTGAATACACATTGAAGGGGTGTTTTCCCAGGAGCCTTTCCAGGTGGTGCTGGGTGACCAGATGACCAGTCATTTTCCCAAACACCATAACTAAGTGCTCTTCTAAACGACAGAGGTTTCCAGATTCTTGCTGGAGCCTCCAGCCCTAAGCACCAGGACGGCAGAGCTCTTGCTTGTTTCCCATAGATCCGCACGAGACTTGCCACCCGCCACATAAAATGGTTCAACTTTTTAAACGCCGCGTAAGGGAGATAAATGATATTAACAGAAGTGGCTTATGCTAACATCAGTTTTACTACCCGGATGCAAGCTTTCTTGAGTAGCAAGTCAGGAATCAGAGTGGGGAGCTTTCTCCATGCGATCTATACTTGTGGCGATTTGTTTCCCTTCAGATATATGTGAGAGGGAAGGAAAAATATTATTGACCACAGACCCCACAGACCACAGAAATATTTGATTTCTCCCATATTTAAGCAATAAGGGACAGAGTTTAGCCCTTCTAAAGTGGTAATTTCACAGAAGGAAAGCAGAGAAGACCTAGTTAATACTAGATACAAAATGAAATTAAAAATGGCTTCTGGAAATCACCGCAATGCCTGGAACCTTGAAATGACAAGTTGCAAGAACTTGGGGACGGCAAATGCCCGGGAAGTCCACAGGAGGGCAGCAGTGCCACACCGTGGAAAGACTGACCCCTTCAGTTTAGTGCAGACTTTTCTGAAATGAATCTGGAAATGATGAAAGCCACCATGCTTTCCACGTCATTACAGAAACTTTTCATTTACACAGTTTTCCCAGGGTGCCTGGGTGGCTCAGTTGGTTAAGGCTCCAACTCTTGATTTCAGCTCAGGTCATGATCTCACGGTTCTTGAGTTCGAGTCCCGAGTAGGTTCTGGGCTGACAGTGAGGAGCCTGCTTGGGATTTTCTCTCTCCCTCCCTCTCTGCCCCTCCACTGCTCATTCTCTGTCTCTGTCTCTCTCTCTCTCTCTCTCTCTCTCTCTGTCTCTCTCTCTCTCTCTCAATACAAATAAGTAAGCATTTAAACAGTTTTCCCATATATTTAATTGCCATTATTTGAAAAACAAAATTTTTATTTACACATACAGAGCAAGATCACATATAAATATACTAAAATGAAAAAACGGCACTTGAAGCAGAAACGACTATAAAAGTGTATTTTGGAAAGCATAACAATCTTTGGTTGAAAAAGAGGGCTTGTTAAAAATCAACAGGACAGCCATCTCTTGCTTCTCAGAAAGTGCTACGTTGTTGAAAGGTGTGAAAATGGGTACAGTAAAACTTCAACTCTGTACTTAATTCAGAAGTCCTATTTCTTTTTGTTCAAGGAGAAAGTACCTCACCAGATCCCTCAGGGAGGGTTCACGTAGAATGGCTCATAAACCTGCTTTATCTGTAAAACAATACTTACTCTGGTCCACGCCAGCTTCCCAACATGTCCTTCTTAAGGCAAGTTTTCTTTGACCTAACTTGTCCTACTAAATATGAAAGTGCAAAACAAAATTTGTAAAACCATAATCTGAATTCGAGTAGCCATGGCTCCTCTCTGCCCAGTGGATTATTTGAAAGAGACCCTGCCTGGTGCGAGGATTCAAGAGAGGTCACAGTCTGTTCCACCTCAGCATCATGTGCCACCACAGGTGTATCCGTTTTTTGTCCCTTTGTTCCACCAACAGCAGATACCGTTTCCTTTCCTAAAATACATGGCTTAATTTTTACCGTGCTTTTACAGATATTACGGTAAGATGCACATAAAAACTAAGATCCTGGGGGCACCTAGGTGGCTCAGTCAGTTAAGTGTGCGTTTTCAGCTCAGGTCATGATCTCGAGATTTGTGCGTTCCAGCCCCGCGTTAAGCTCTGTGCTGACAGCTCAGAGCCTGAAGCCTGCTTCAGAGTCTGTGTCTCCCTCTCTCTCTGCCCCTTCCCTGCTCACACTCTGTCTCTACCTCAAAAATAAACATTAAAACAATTTTTTAATAAAAAAGAAAATATTTTCACGTTTAACTTGTCTCATTGTAAAAACCAATCCTTTTATTCCTGTGTTGTATCTGTGATTCTCTCCAAAACAAAAAAATAGAACAGTATGATGCAAATACTTAGCAAATATTTCCTCAGTTAAATTAAAGTAAGGGCTAACGGGAAAGACTGGAGAGAAATGCGTGTAGGACCTGATACTGAATTTTTAAATCTGGCTCTGAGACTGAACTTCTAATTTATTTTTTTATTTTGTTTTTATTTTACAGAGAGTGAGTGACAGAGAGAGCAGGAGAGACAAATCCCAAGGAGGCTCCCCGCTGTCAGAGCAGGTCCCTCCTCAGGGCTCTATCTCACAACTGTGAGATCAGGACCTGAGCCAAAATCAAGAGTTGGATGCTTAACCGACCTAAGCTACCCAGGTGCCCCAGGTGAAACTTTTAAAAAGGTAAGGATTCCACCAGTGTTCAAGTACAAGATTGCCCCACGTAGACCTCAGCGTCAAAGAAATCATGTGTTTTGGTAAGAGATTCTCCTAAATAACTGAAATATACATCACAACTCTACGGTACCAGTAGACATCTTTCTAAACTCTATTATTTTAGTCCAGTGCCGTCCAAAGAAATACACTGCAAGTCACACGGGTAATTTTACATTTTCTAGAAGCCACATTAAAAAAGTAAAAGAAGCAGTCAAGTTTAATTTTAATATTTTATTTAAACCCATACAGTCAAAATATTAACATTTTGCCATGTGTTTGACATTTAATTTGTACTGAGTCTTCAGAATTCGAGGTGTATTTTATAAGCACAACTCAGGCAGGACCAGCCACGTTCAAGTCCGCAGTAGCCACACGAGACTACGGACTCTTGAACTGGACAATGCAGTTCTGTCCCGGCCTCAGGACACAGACTAGGACAGACAGACGAACACTAACCAGGCACCGTCAGCTGCTCTCCAGTACGTGCGCCCCGGCAAACACCTCGGGGATGTGCTAGATGCTGCACAACGGAACAGCTAACCATGGCTGTGGCTACCCTCCGGTTTCTCTTTGTGGGGGAGGCCGTCCTCTGAGCCTCCACCCTCACAGAACTACACTCCTGATAGAGCCATCCCCTGAGGTCGACTGTGAGCCACTTTATACTGTGAGTCAGGCCTGTCACTGACTTCTCCAAGACTGCTCTATTTTTCCAGGTTTTTTTGAGTCAAAACTCCTTTTGTTTGTGTGGTCGTGGTATCCTCTTTTTCAGGTACATAGAATTTTAAATAGAATCCAACATAGAAGAAAGATCAAAAGGATTAACATACCTCTTAAGACGCATTTATTATTTGGCATAACAATGAAGCTATTTAAAGATGAGGAGAATCCAAAACCGGATTACTCATTACAGAAATTTCATGTTATCTTCAGCATCCCTTAAATTACCTTCAGATGTTTACAGAGACCGTAAAGCTCATGACAGACTGAAATCTACCTTCCTGGTTGGCTTTAGCCTCCAAGGAATTCTGGGACCAAGAAGACACACTGGGTCAGGCAGGCCTCCACTGCCAGTTCTAGCTGAATGTTTTGCCTTCCCCTTAGCTCCTGGGACCCAACACACCACTTTGCTTTTACCAAGAAATTGCTCTTCCTCTTGGCCTTTTTAGAGTCTGCTCCCAAAGTGTTGACTCTAAGGGAGAGGGGCACCCACATTGTGAGTGGTGGTTACGTATCTGCTCCCTTGCTGGTTGTGCGGACACATTCAGGCACAAATAGAGGAATATTTCCAATGCATTTCATTCGAAGACACAAGGTGGATGGAGTCAAAGGGCTCTAAGGCAATGCAATTCATAATTTTTCAAACTCTAAGGAATTTTTTGTTGGTTTCTCTTTCATACGCTAAAAATATTCTGGTAAAGGAAAACAAATAAATGCCTTCAAAAAGTAATATTTACAAGTTGAAACAATACATTTACCAAATTACATAAAATGTATTTTGGTTTCTGAAAAAGGAAAGTTTTTCTTCCCTACATTAAAATGAACTGATTTGAATCTCTATATCTCTGAAACCATTTAGCCTGAAGGAAATTAGGTAAACTTTCTCTTTCTCACAGGGTAAGACTGTGTGAGGACAAGTGGTCCTTGCCCTTGCATCTTAGATATAGAGGGAATACATAGAGTGCATATTAAATACTGTCTTAGAAATCAATTTGAGGACAAGGCAGACATTTTCAGATGCATCTTGACTTTTGCGTCAAGTACAGTTTCTTCCTGCGGCACATCTGTTTTCACCCCGGGGAAAGACCTCTGTAAAGCTTCTTCCATAACATCCCATTTTCCTGGGATGGATCTGATATTTGCTCTCAACTAACCACAACATCCTTTGTTATTTATTGTTTTAAATTTTTTTTGAAGCGTTTGCAGCTCAAGCATGTGAGAGCCAAGTAGAACAATGTCCAAGTTAATTTGGTCTTTCGGGTTTTTGCCCCTATACCCCCCACCACCTGATCTGGCCACTCTATGCAGTAAATCCCAAAACGTTTTGTAACATCCACTTAAGCACAGACAGCTTAAGAATTACAAAGTTAGAAAAATGTAAAAAATACTACAAAGTTAGTGGTCCTTTGTAGTATTTATTAATATAATGTTAAAAACAGGCTTAAGTTATACCAAATAATAAATATCCTTAACAGAAAAAAAGGAGCAACTATTTAGTCACAGGTAATAAAATACATAGATTATGTACATAATTCTAACAGACTTAAGCAAACTCTCACTTACCCAGCGACGATGTAACCGGAGGAAAGGAAATCATGCACGTATGAAACACGTACATGAAAACATTAATGCAACGAATGGCATCTATTTTCTAGGACCACGCGGTCACGACAAGCAAAACAGAACTCAAGCGATAGCAAGACACAGGGCAAGGGCGGCGGATTCCAAGACTAGAGAGGATGGGAGCAAATTAGTGAAGAAAGGAAACGGGAAGGAAAAAGGGGCGTTTCAGACGCCCTGGGAGCCCGTCCTATTCCCAGCTGAGACTAAGGAACCGGAGCAGAACACTCGAACCTGTGGCCACTTTCCATCAAATAACTTAGAGATCAAAAAAATAAATAAATAAAATAAAATAAATAAATAACTTAGAGATCTGTCTATTGATCTGAAAAATGACTACTTATGCTCTTTCTGAACTTTGGGACAGAGGCTGCAGAAGGGTAACTGTGTTCCGAAGTCATCACAAATACGACTTTACATCTGAATCCATCTGTACCAAGTTTTAGCAGCAATTTAGGACTATCCGTGCTTCCCGAGTTCTCACCCCCCTAGAAGTAGAGAAGGAACTGCATATGCTTTATAGTCTTGTAAGGAAGTTTCTATGGAGATGACACTCAGTTTCAGGGGGAAAGATGATGGACATTAAGCACTGCAAAGAATATAATAGAAAACTTTACTTTTTTTAATGTTTGTTTTTGAGAGAGAGAGACAGAGTGCAAGTCAGAGAGGGGCAGAGAGAGAGAGGGAGACACAGAATCCCAAGCAGCCTCCAGGCTCTGAGCTGTCAGCACAGAGCCTGAGGAACCCACGGACCGTGAGATCATGATCTGAGCTTAAGTCAGACGCTTAACTGACCGAGGCACACAGGCCCCTCCCCTCTTTTTTTAAGAGAAGCAACATAAAGCCAAATTTTAGCCCATACTTTTTTTTTTAATGTTTTATTTATTTCTAGGAGAGAGAGAGACAGCGTGAGCAGGGGAGGGTCAGAGAGAGAGGGAGTCACAGACTGAAACAGGCTCCAGGCTCTGAGCTGGCAGTCAGCACAGAGCCCGACGCGGGGCTTGAACCCACAAACCGCGAGATCATGACCTAAGCGAAAGTCAGACGCTTAACCGACTAAGCCACCCAGGCGCCCCAGCCCATACTGTTTAAAAACAAACACATAGATGGGCCCCTGGGTGGCTCAGTTGACTTGGGCTCAGGTCACAGTCTCGGGGTTTGTGTGTTCCAGCCCCACATCAGGCTTTCTGCTGTCAGTACAGATTAAGCTTTGGATCTTCTCTCTCCCTCTCTCTTTATGCCCCTCTTCCACTCATTCTTGCTCCCCTCTCCCTCTATCAAAAAATAAATAAACAGAAAAAAACTTAAAAGATAAAAGCAAACACATAAGAGTCTTTTAAAAGTTCAATTATCTTAAATAGAAAATTTTGCCAATAAGCTGATGATGTTTCTTCAAATTTGAAGAATGTGAGCACCTCAACGATATTCGTCCCCTGCCCCGTCACTCTATGCTGCCCAGGCACCATCCCTGGGAGCTCATGGGGAATATAGGGTCTCAGACACCACACCAGACCTAATGCATCAGAATCTGCATTTTAACAAGCCCCCAGGTGATTAATGTGCACGTTAATGTTAGAGAAACACTGCTCTAGATTCTACAGGAGAAATGCTTACCCACCCACCCCACATTTGAGAAACCTCAGCTTTGAAAGAATATAGAACCTAAAGAGTTCGATAGTTCAATGTCTTGAGTGAAATAATCTAGAGAATCTAAATCAATAAATCTATTCTATAATCCTGAATTTCTAATCGAGTATGTTCCTGTGATGAAAAGTGTAACATAGATCCTAAAAGATTTGTATGTACTTCATAAATTAGCTCATAGGCATTTATTAATTTCCCATCCCACACTATCTTTTGAAAATTTTTTTTCCTCTAAATTACGCTACTATATATGGGATTAATTACATTGCACTGGTTAAAGATAAAATATTTTCCCAAACTACTTAAAAATTTTATTATGGCAGTTGTGGTTTACAAAGAAAATTTGGATGTTAAGTGAGAAAGTATGTCCTTTTTGAAAAAAATAAGAGAGATAATTGACACATAACATTGTATCAGCTTTAGATGTACACATAATAATTTGATATATGTACATGCTGCAAAATGATCACACTACGTGAACACCCATCCCTTCACATAGTTACAAACATATATTGTGTATGTGTGGGTGTGACAAAAACTTTGAAAGTGTACTACCTTACCATCTTTCAAATATGTCATACAGTATTATTAACTATAGCCACCACTCTGTGCGTTACATTCTGTGCGATACTCCATCGTCAGGGATGGAGTATATCTTACCAACTGGGAGTGTGTGCCTTTTGACCACCTTACTTGATTCAACTAACAGCACTCCCCTGCCACACACCCCAAGTCTCCAGAATCCACCAATCTTTTCTCTGTATCTCTGAGTTCATTTTTTAAAAATGAACTTCTATATAAGTGATATCATAAAGTATTTGTCTTTCTCTTGACATAATGCCCTGAAAGTCCATCCATGTTGTCAGAAATGGAGGGATTTCCTTTTTTATGGCTGAACAATTTCTGCCAGATAATTGAATCTATATAATGGGTTATACAAGTATATATCATATTCCATTATACATATTTATAGGTACAATATTCCATTATATATAATCTATGCACTCTATATATAGCCTATATTTTCGTTTTATGGAAATATATATATTATATATATACATAATGGAAATAATTATGGAAATATACATATTATATATATACATGCCATATTTTCTTTATCCATGTATTCACTGATGAATACTCAGGTTGTTTTCACATCTTATTATAAATGGGGCTTCATTGAACTCTGGGGTGCAGATATAGTCTCAAAATAGTGATATTCTCTTCAAATGGAATTGATGGGTACGGTAATTCTTTTTTTAATTTTTTCAGTAACCTCTATCCTCTTTTCCATATGGCCACACACATTTACATTCCCACCAACAGTGTTCAAGAGTTCCCCTTTCTCATGATCCTCACAGATAAGTGTCATATTTTTTTCATAACAGCCATTCTATCAGTTGTGAGGTCATCTCTCTCTCTGGTTCTGATTTACATTTACTTGATATTTAGTGATGTTGAGCACCTTTTCATGTACCTGTTGGCAATTTCTATGTCTTCTTTGGAAAAATGTGTATTCAGATTCTGTGACCATTTTAAAAACTTGAAGTATGATTTACATGTAACATCATATTAGTTTCAGGAGTACAACATTATTAGGTGAGATTTGTAAATTTGCAAAATTATCACCACAATAAATCTAGTTAACGTCCATTACTATACAGTTACACATTTTTTCTTGTTATGAAAACTTTTAAGATCTATTCTCTTAGGAACTTTCAAATATCAATACAGTATTATTAAGCATATCACCATGCTGTACATTACATTCTGTGACTTATTTGTAACTGGAAGTTCATACATTTTTGACCCCCTTCACCCACCTCACCCACCCTTACCACCTGCCTCTGACAACCATGAATCTGTACCTATGAGTTTGGTTTTTTTTAAGAGATCACATATAAGTGAAATCATGCTATTTATGTTTCTTTGTCTTGTTGAACTTAGCAAAATGCCTTCAGAGTCCATCCGTGTTGTCACAAATGGCAAGATTTCATCCTTTTTAATGGCTAAATAATATTCCATTGGATATGTACACTGTTTCTTTGTCCACTCATCTGTTGATGAACAGGTAAATCACTACTTCACTGTGATCTTCTTCTGAGGCTTTATCTTGTTCTTTCACTTGGAACATATTCCTCTGTTTCTTCATTTTCCTTGACTGTGTTGGTTTCCATGTTAGAGAAAACAGCTCTCCCAGTCCTAACTAAAACACCCTCGTGTAGGAGATACAGCTTATCATTCAACTCCATCCTAGCTTTCAGTTGTCTCTCAAACTTTTGTGATTGTCCAAGCAGCCTACCTTATTCCCAGTGGTCTCAGTCATGGAGGGCATGCTAAGACTTCACAGAGTCCTGAAGAGGAGAAGTCCCAGTCAGCACCTCGATTTGGGCTGATTGGAAGCCAGTCCCTCACCTGTTGCATAAAGTATGCAACTATACCTCTTTCAGGGAAACACTGGGAAATGGGTGATTCCACGTGCTCTCTCTGTTCTGAGCCCTGCAGCGACAGTCAGTTAAGAACTGTTTCTTTAGGGGCACCTGGGTGGCTCAGTCAGTTAAGCATCCAACTTTGGCTCAGGTCATGATCTTGCAGTTTGTGAGTTCAAGCCCTGCGTTGGGCTCTGTGCTGACAACTCAGAGCCTGGAGCCTGCTTTGGGTTCTGTGTCTCCCTCTCGCTCTGCCCCTTCTCCAGTCATGCTTTATCTCTCCATCTCTCTCAAAGATAAGTACACATTAAAAAAGGAAAAAAAGAACTGTTCTTTCTTTGTTACTGTACTGCTGACCACCAGGGCCTGGTTATCAAGGGGTGTGTCATGTGGGTTGCAGCCACAAAAGCTGGGGTGCCAGATGTGTATATGAGCTCCTTTCTCAGAGACACCAACAACCTGGGACAGGATAGGAGAGTTCAAAGATGGTGCCTGCCCACCGGTCTCCCCAGTTTCTGGAGAGGCCTGCCTTGGGGCTCACCGACATGTGTTTAATGAGAAGCCCATTCCTAGGCCATAGCTACGCAGAGAGGCTGAAAAGCAAGTCACAGAAAGACTGGGCTGATCTCAGCTGGCCAACCTCCGTGCCACCTCCTGGGTTGGGCAGCCAGTTAACAACGGTTTCTCCATTTGTCCCAGTCCTACGTGACCTGCAGACATAAGCCCTGAGGGCCACCAGACAGGTGCACACGTTCCTTTTCGGAGATACTGCCGCTGTGGAACACGGGAGAGGGAGAGCGAAAGATGGCGCTGGCTCTCTAAGGTCTCCGGAGAGGACCGTGGCCAGAGTTGGATTTAGTTAGAAGCCTGTCACCTCAGGCCTCAGCTACACAGATAAGCTCATAGGCCTCTTTCACAGAAAGACTGGGGGTGCCTCTCAGACCGCTGTGTGGGCCGTGCCTTGGAGCACAGCCAGGTAGCAGCTGCTTTTCTGTTCCAGTCCTGTGACGTTAGCCTCCCTGGTCACCGGTGCCAGGTGATCAAGGGATGTTCCCTGAGTAGCGGCCACAAACACCAAAGCCCCAGATGTGTAAGTGAACTAACTCCCTTCTGAATGATACCAGCAGCTTAGAGCCGGGGAGCAGCGGGCAGCAAGACAGGGCCCTCCAGCCTCCGTGGGCTTCAAAGAGTATTTCAGTTGGGTCCTAGGCGTGTGTTACATTAGATGCCTGCCCTTCGGGCCAAAGCTTTTAAGATAAACAAATAGGTCTCTTACCAGGAAAAACTAGTCAGCTGCCTCTCCACTGTACCCTGGGGGGTTTTGTATCGACCCAAGGTGGATTTAGTTTTCAGGTTTCTTTCAGAGAGAACTGTTTTGTATGTGGCTGTAGATGCCGCATGTAGGAGAGGAGGTGAGTTCAGGGGATCCTCCTACATCGCTGTCTTGAAGTAGAGGACCAGCTTACAAGACCCATTATTTGCTAGCTGGAGAGATTTTGATTAATACCTGTGAAGGAACCAGTATTTTGATGCAGAGAATTTAAACAGGAAAGGAAAGTGAGGAGCAAAAAGCCATACTGTTTTGCTTTCCTAAGGCATTATTTCGCCACAAAACTTTTAGACTTGTAAAAATATTCTACTGACAATATTTCCTGCTCATGCTATTGTGTGTATATAATTTTAAAAATACACTACTGATTGAGAAATCAAATATGCATACCACAAATTCTACAAATATAAGATTGAAGATTCATGGAGGCATTGTGGTTTAAAAAAATACAACCAATAATATAAAAGTGTGAGCTCTTTATGTGTAGGCAATGTATATTTATTACATACCCTAAACCAAATGACTAGTATAAAGACAAAATATATCATAAAATCATGAATACCAAAAGTCTTAAAATTATTAGGTTTGATATAAAAGTCACTTCCAAACTACAAAAAAAGAAAATTACTGAAAATCAATAAAAATCAAATTTTAAAGCACCTAATCTTAGTCTATGCTCCAGAATTTATTCTAAGTCTTCTACTAAATTGAAAATTATTTCATCAACATTTAAGTTTGATGTTTAAAAAACCTATTCTCCCTAGGAGGAACATACTTGTACACTTGTTTTCTATTATAAGTCCCCCCCTAACATTTTTCATTTTATAGATGAAAACAAAAATAAGGTTGATGAGGTGGCTTGTAAATCTTACGCCTCAGTAATGTTAAGTTTAACCTCAACAGTTTTACTGCAACCGAGATTAAGAGAATATAAATGGGCAATCAAACTCCGCTGCTTTTCACTCCCCAGTTCAACAAGTATAAGTAACAGCTCTAAAGGAAAAGAAATTGAACTGGGTATTCGAATGGGACCCCTGCACAGCTTCTTACAATTACCTAAGCTCCACGGACAAATGGAGACTTTGATCATAAAAACTCCACTGAATACAACTGTCCGAGTCTCCAGTGACCTGGTCTAAATTTCGTCTTGGCCCCTGGTCCAATTTAGGGAACGGGGGAAAGCTGGGTGGGGAAGGCCCCACGGTGGCCCGCGATTTGCTATAGAACTTAAACCTCAAGTCCCACAGAACTTTTTCCTGCAGTCATAACAGATGAAGCAAGTCTGCACAGATCGCTCTGACTGCTGGGACAGGAAAAGCAACCTAAGATATTATTAGTATACAGACGCGACCGGCATGGCACATGACGCAGGCGCAGCTCAGGCAAAGGCGGCGTGAGGTACAGACGCAAATGCTGCGCGGAAGTATGTCAGGAGTGAGAAGGCCCGTAAGTTAGAAGAAATGTCCTTTAATTTACCTTTTCCTCTCTCTTTGAAGACATCTGTACAGGCAGGTGCAAAGTACTGCAAGGCCAACAACTACAAGAAACCAGGAAATAAATGACATGTGACTCTGAGAACTGACTGCCAAGATTCAAAACGTGGCTGCACAAATAAGTCAATATTGGTTACATTTCAGTGGTCAGAAAATGTTATTATATTTAAGCACGTATATATTCAAACTCCGTCTGGACTCTTCGGTAGCTGAAGTTCATACTGTGGTGTCACTTGAATGGTTCACAGTACGTCAGGGAAGAATCCTTGCTTAGCTTAGAGAAGTGCCCAGAGCATATTTGGGACCCAAAGTCATGGCTAATCATCCTGAAAACACACGGAGTATTGAGGGTTTGTTACTAAGTGGACATGTAGAATATAAAAGAATATACATTCACCAGCAAAACGCATAGTATCACATACAAGGGCAGACTATTCTAGACTGGTGTACTTCAAATTATAAAAACTATAGAAACTGAAAAGTCATTTAAAAAATAATGCGCTTCCTCGCAATAAATTTTTGATTTAAGTGGCATCGAAGTTGGGGCTACTTACGGATAGTAAGAATAATCACAGCAATGATACCTGCGTCTGGGAAAACATGAAAACAGTTTGAAGATAATTGAGCACACAAGGGTCCCAAAGAGTAGTTAGTTGCATTGAATCTTGCTCAGATCATCTATACAGTACAGCAAGCAAAGAGTTCCTCAGTCTCGTTTTAGCACGACTGCTAGTGTGTCCGGGTCATTCTGATCACAGAGCCCTTGGACTCTGATCCCACATTCAGGGGCCACCTTGTGAAACTCTTAACTGGAATAACTTTTCATTGTTATATGTTATAGCCACCACACCAGGTTATTTAGTAAAGCTTATTGGGTACTTGGAATCCCCTAGATGAGAGGAAATTGCCTACATGTCTCCATACTTAAGTACCATTTATGTTTAGCATGTTATCTGGACTATTACAATCACTATAAATGTCAAATTTTGTGAAACTTTGTTCCTTCCTTAAGGACAAATAATTTGAACATGATAGAAATTACATGTAGAACTCCAAGGTTTCATAAGGAAGAGTAATTAATAGCCAAAATAATACCTAATTCTTCAAATTCTTCTAATAATACTGATTCCTTGGGCTCGGGATAGCCTAGGGGAAAAAATAGAAAAAAAAACAAGAAAGACTAAATCTTAATGATCCATAAATACACTGGTTTTTGCTTTTTGTCTTTGTATGAAACTGCTTATAATTTCATTTTCCTTATATATTAATGTTTCTCAATAAAAGTATAAATTACAAATTTATACTTGATGTCATCAGCAGTCTTCTTCTTGTGCACTGATATTTCTTGTGACAATATTCTGTGGTATAGCAAGCAAATTTGTCACTGCCATATCCTCAAAATTAGCCTGAATTCAACATGATTCTACTTATAATTAAAAGATAGAGGACTTAAAAACAATTTAGAAGTTGATCGGGAGTAGAAAGACTCGTCAACATAATAAAAGCCATTTATGAAAAACCCATGGACAACATCATATTTAAGACTGAAAGATTTTCCTTTAAGATCAGGAATAGGACAGGGTGCCTATGTTTGCCACTTCAATTCAACACAATATTGCAAGTTCATGTTAGAGCAATTAGGTAAAAAAGAAATAAAAAGCATACAAATTGGGAAGAAATAAAATGATCTCTGTTCACACATGACATGATCTTTTACACAGAAAACTCTAAGGATTACACACACACACACCACCTAGTACAACTAATAAATGAACACAGTAAAGTCGCAGGATACAAAATCAACATGCAAAAATCAATTGCATTTCTACACACTAATAATAAGCAATGTAAAGAGGAAATTAAGAAAACAATTCCATTAACAATTGAAGGAAAAGGAGCTACCCTATGGCCCAGCAATTGCATTACTATATATTTATCCAAAGGATATAAAAATGCTGACTTAAAGGGGCACATGCACCCCAATGATTATAGAAGCACTGTTGACAATAGCCAAATTATGGGAAGAGCCCAAATGTCCATTGACTGATGAATAGATAAAGAAAATATGGTATATATTTAAAATGGAATATTACTCAGTGATTAAAAATAATGGAATCCTGCCATTTACAGCAATGTGGAGAGAACTAGAATGAATACATTCAATGCATGCTAAGCAAAATCAGTCAGAGAAAGACAAATATATGATTTCACTCATATGGAATTTAAGAAGCAAAACAGATGAACATAGGGGAAGGGAAGGAAAAATAAAGTAAGATAAAAACAGAGCGGGAGGCAAACCATAAGAGACCCTTTTTAAAAAATGTTAGTTTATTTTTCTAACTATAATTTATTGTCAAGTTAGCTAATATACAGTGTATACAGTGTGCTCTTGGTTTTGGGAGTAGATTCACATGATTTATCGCTTACATACAGCACCCAGAGCTCATCGAACAAGTGCCCTCCTCAGTTCCCATCACCCATTTCCTCCTCCCTCTTCCCCCCGCTTCAACCCTCAGTTTGTTCTCTGTATTTAAGAGTCTCTTATGGTTTGCCTCCCTCTCTGTTTGGAACTATTTTTCCCCTTCCCTTCCCCCATGGCCTTCTGTTAAGTTTCTCAAGACCCACATATGAGTGAAAACATATGATATCTGTCTTTCTCTGACAGACTTACTTCACTCACCATACTACCCTCCAGTTCCATCCACATTGTTGCAAATGGCAGGATTTCATTCTTTCTCATTGCCAAGTAGTGTTCCATTGTATATATAAACCAGATCTTTATCCATTCATCAGTTGATAGACATATGAGCTCTTTCCATAATTTGTCTATTGTTGATAGCACTGCTATATAGAGACTCTTAAGTTCAGAGAACAAACAGGATTGCTGGAGGGGTGGTGGGTGGGGGTACGGGAGGGGTGGTGGGTGGGGGTACGGGCTAAATGGGTGATGGGATGAGCACTAGGTAAGTGATGAATCACTAAATTCTATTCCTGAAACCGTAATTACACTTTATGTTAACTAACTTGGATTTAAATAAAATTTAAAAAAGAATAAAAGACTTTGTAATAAACTTCACAAATGAGGTAAGAGAGTTGTGCACTGAAAATTATAAAACACTGCAGAAAGAAATTTAAAAAGACATAAATGAATGGAAAGAAGTCCTGTGTCCATGGACTGGAGGACCGAATGATGTTAAGATGCAAATATGACATGAAGCAAGCTGATGAAGTACAACCCCCCAAAAGCCTAAATATGCTCTTTGCAGAAATAGAAAAATCCATTTGAAAATCCATATGGAATCTCAAGGGACTAGGAATAGTTAAAGCAATCATGAAAAGGGAAAGCAAAGCTAAAAGGACTCATAGTTTCTGATTTCAAAACTTACTACTAAGTACAACAATTAAAATAGAATGGCACTGGCATAAAGACAGATATACAGAGGCACCTGGGTGGCTCAGTCGGTTAAGCATCTGACTGTTGATTTCAGCTAGGGTCATGCTCATGGTTTGTCAGTTCGAATCCCACATCAGGCTCTTAGCTGATGGCACGGAGCCTGCTTGGGATTCTCTCTCTCCCTTTCTCTCTGCCTTTCCCTTGCTCTCTCTCTCTCTCCAAAGTAAATAAACATTAAAAACAAAGACATACAGACCATTGGAATAGAAGAGATGCCACAAAATAAACCTTTGCCTATATAGTCAAATAATTCTCTACAAGGGTGCTAACAACATTCAATAGGGAAAGAGCAAACTTTCTCACAAATGCTTTTGAAAACTGAATCTCCATATATACAAAAGGATAAATTTTAACACTTGCTATACACCAAATACAAAAATTAATTAAAAATCAACCAAATACCCTAAATCACTAAAACTATAAAACTCTTAGAAGAAAATAAGAGTGCAGGCTTCATGGTGTTGGATCTGGTAATGATTTATTGAATGCGATGCAAAAGCATAGGCAACAAAAGAAAAAAACAAATAAATTAGACCACATTAAAACTAAAAGCTTCTGTGCATTAAAGGACACTAACAGCAGAGTGAGAAAACAACCCAGAGAATGGGAGGAAACATCTGAAAATCATATATCTAATAAGGGAATGATATCCAAAATATAAAATGAACTCCTAAAACTCAAAAATAAAACAGAAAAACAACCCATCAAAAACAGACAAAGGACCTGAATAGACATTTCTCCAAAGAAGATATACAAATGGCCACTAGCACATGAGAAGATGCTCAACACATTGCTAATTGTTAAGGAAATGCAAATAAAAACCACAATGAGATACTACCTCTTGTATATTACATATATTCTAATGGTTATTATCAAAAAGCAGAAAATACTATGTGTTGGTACAGGTCAATAAATTGAAACTTTTTTGGTTTGAGAGAGAGAGCACAAGTGAAAGAGGTAGAGAGAGAGAATTCTAAGCAGGGTCCATGCCCAGCGTGGAGCCTGACATAGGGCTGGATCTCATGACGCTGAGATCATGACCTGAACTGAAACCAAGAGTTGAACGCCTAACTGACGGGGTCACCCAGGTGCCCCAAGAAATTGGAACTTTTGTGGATTGCTGATGGGAATGTAAATGGTCCAGCCACTATGGAAGACAGTATGGTTGTTCCTCAAAAGAATAAGCATAGAATTTTCATGTAACCAGCAATTCTACTCCTAGATATATAGCATCCCAAAATTGCAAACAGGGGCTCAAAATTAAAAGTTAACAACTGAAAACAAGACTCAAACACTTGAAAGCCAATATTCGGAGAAACATAATTCAGAGTAACCAAAATGTGGAAACAACCCAAGCAATTGTCTATCAACAAATGAATGAATAAACAAAATGCACAAAACAGTGGAATATTATTCAGTCATAAAAAGGAATAAAGTTCTGATACATACTACAAGGTGGATGAACCTTGAAAACATTATGCTACATGAAATAAGGCAGAAATTATTCCACTTCTATGAAGTAGGTCAACTAGCCAAATTCATGAAGACAGAAGACAGAAGAGTCACCCAGGATGGGGTGGGGGTGGGGGGGTTGAGAGTTATTGTTTAATGTGTAGTAAGTTTAAATTTGAGATGATGAAAAAGTTTTGGAGATGGATAGGAGTGCTGGTTACAAACAACGTGGATGTACTTCATGGCACTGAAACGTCCACTTAAAATGGTTACAACAGTAATAAAATATAATACAAGTTTATCTAGAAAAACTAATGTACAGAATAGTCTAAACATTGCTGAAAAGGAAGTGTTCTGCCAGATATTAAAACATATTATAGTGAGGAACCTGGGCAACTTGGCTCAGGTCATGATCTCATGGTTCACAGGTTCAAGCCCCATGTTGGGCTCCTTGCTGGGAGTGCAGAGCCTGCTTGGGATTCTCTCTCTCTCTCTCTCTCTCTCTCTCTCCCTCTCTCTCTCTCTCTGCCCCTCCTCTGGTCTCTCTTTCTCTCTCAAAATAAATAAGTTTAAACAAATAAAATAATAAGCAAAAAATAAAACATATCATAGTATTACAGTGGGAAAAAAACGATTCAGTGCTGTCACAAGAATGGCCAGAGTTCGAAGAAGCATAAAGATGACTAGAATACCTATGAATTTAATGACAAAAAGAATTGGAACTTGAAAACAGTTGGAGAGAGGACAACTTATTCAACAAATGTTGCTACTTCACCATCACAAGGGGGTGGTAGAGCAGAGAAAAGACCTGTCTCACTCCATTTATCACAATGAATTTCAGATGCACCAATGATTTAAATACAAAGAATACAATCAGAACACATGTTTATAAAGTTTTAGCACAGGGAAAGCCTAAAGCTTTTATAAGAAAGATGGAACACACACAGCCATTAGGGAGAAGATCAATACATCCATTAGCCCATCTACCTATTAATGTAAAATTTCCATACATGTAAAAGGCCACTAACAGAATAGTTAAATTAATAAATATGGTATACATTTCAAAAGTCATCATTGGAAAGAATGGCAATAAATCTAAATACAACCCCAAATTAAGACATTCAATGGAAAAAAGGCAAGTTTCAAAAATCACATATGATATTGCCAATTTTGTTTAAGATAAAAGAAAAAATGCCCAGCTATATGTATAACTGCACATCTAAGGATGTTGATGTACAGAAATAAAGAGAAACCTTAAACTGTTATCAGTTGTTAATTCAGCTAAAAGACTAGAGAAAAAAAGGCTAATTCTTTACTCGGTATACTTCACAATGTTTGAAGATTTATACCACTCATGTAACAAAATGTTATAAAAAGCAATCTATAATCTTAAAAGAAAACTGACTGGTGAAAATAAGACCCAAAACCCCTGAAAAAATGTTCACTTCATATTAAAAGTGTTTTAACTTATAATAAACTCTCATAAATCAACAAGAAAAATATTTTAGAAACCTAATTTTTAAAAAATGAGCAAAGGGCCTGGATAAATCAATGCAGACTAAAAAGTTCAAATTCACTGATGACAATTAAAGAAATGAAAATTAGAACCAGACATAATGTGACAGTCATCACCTCATTAGGTTATTAACAATATAAGCAGGAGAAATCATTACTGAACCTGGATACTTTGAAACTGGAGGTTTGGTTGGATGAGTAGGCTTGAAACCTGGAAAAATAAAGTGGATACAATTCACTAGCCTTATAAATACAAAATTATGGATTTAATTTTGAGTTTTTATTTTCAAAAAAGACTCATTTCTCAAAATGAAAAATACAAATATCTTCCAAATTTTGCGAATCTACTTCTGGGAATTTAACCTAATGTATATTTGCACAAGTTCAGAAGCATGTATGACTAGAAGTTACCTAATAGTAGATCATAAAAGTAATGTGTTCAGAGTAGACACACATATCTTGAAAAAAAAATACCATCCAAGTCATATCATACTACATGAGAAGTTGTACCTTTTTCTTTTCTGCCTAGTATTTCTCTGACTTAAAAAATATTTGCACATTTAGATCTGCTTTAACACCATTATATGTTGTTGGTCCTTTTGATATAGTCTTTCTCTGACTGATGAGAAAAAATGATTGACAGTCCTGTGGAGAGTTTTGATTTTTTATTTTTAAAAAAAGATCCCTGTAGTTTCTCTTCTTTACAAGCCTTTTCTTACAGATTTTCTTCTAAAGACTAAACTGTATCAGTGTTTTATAAATCCTTTATGAAATGCTTATGGTTCAACTCTTTAAAAAGAGCATATCAACAAACATAGTATACCACAGTGCATATACCCACTAGGACCATGTGAGTAAATATGGATGGGTCATGGAGTATAAATGTCATATGCAATCTTATGAGATCAGTCCACCAAAAAATCATTTCTTTCCCTCCAAACTTCATGGCACTCAACTAAAGCACACAAGGAGGCTATTGGGCACTAGGTTTACAGGAATTATTAAAAACATATTCTAATTACCATACTAACATGCATAATTCCACAAATCCTTTAAAATAGTATGGCCACAGGAAATATACAAATAAATTAAGTCATTAATCAAGATCTGTCTGAGTTCAACACTTTCAAAAAACAGGAAGCTGAAGTCCACAGAAATGAGGTTACTTGAGTGAGCTGAGCCACACTAGCACCTTCACATGAGTGAGGTCAGTCCAGGCTAATGTCCCACCCCCAATTCCTATTGTCTCTTGCTTCTGATGCAAAGAGAGGCCAAAGATAGCAGCACTGAAATCAGGAAGTTATTTCCTTCCAACATGGCAAAATAATCTTTTGAGTCTTAAACAAAGTAGCTGACCTGCAAGAGATCCTTCATTTCATTTCAGTGAATAAGGATGTTTCCTGCCTTTCAGTTGCTATGAAGTTCAGGTGCAGTTGCCAAATAAAAACGCCCAGTGAAGAGAAAAAGCATAATTGTATGAAGTTGGAAGGGGTGGGGGTGGAGACAGAATATACAGGTCTTATTTGGAGATAGCAGATATTTTCCAGTTTAAATTGTGCTACATAAAAAATAAAAAACTAAACTGGTTGTAGTCCAGCAAATGAAACATAGTCCTAGACCAGGAAGATACCCTAAAGGAGCAAACAAATCACTTTTAAAAAGAATGAAACAGCAAAGTCTACCCAGAAAACACACATGTTAAAAAACAGAAGCCATAGGCCTTTCTCTTCACTAATATTAATTCGAGTGATGCTATAAGTCACATGAGCTACATATACAAGCTTCCCATATGCCAAGCACTACGCAAAGTGTTACATGCATCCCACTTAAACTGTATGTAACCTTCCCAAGTTTACATACCTGTGTATATCTGTGGACTATGCCAAATAATTTTAGAAAAACTAAATAGAACTAAAATGGCTGTAAACATGTCCTTCATCCTTTCATTACTCAAAATGATGAATGACTATCAATCACATGAATGTAAAGGATTTTTGTAAAATATAAGCAGGAAAGTACAACTCGGAATGACTCAAAATTAGAGGTTTTATATGGGGAGAAATCTGTACTGAAAAAAACATAATGTAGAATCAACTACTTCAGAATTACTGTTTTCATTTCATTTATATGAATTATGCCTTTTATTCCTGACTTAATATATGTAAAAAATTCTCATGCTTCAAACTACTCTAAAAGTGGTTGCTATACATTTTTACACATAAAAATACTAAATGAGAAATTTATATACCTGTGTGATGCAGATAACGTGTACAGACCCTATGAAAACATACAAAATCACAGCACAGCAATGATATCATATCTCTATCATGTAAATAAATACAAGATGGAGTAAAATACTAAAATGTTTTTCTTTCTAATTATCCAGTTTCATTGATATTTGGTGTCAAAAAATTAAAACTAAGAAGAAAGAAAGATGGAAAAAAAACATTTGTACCTTTAATACATGTCGGCATATCAGGTTCCCAAGTATTTTTCTCACCACAGAACACTGGGTTGCTGCCATTAAGATAAAAACCCGGGAGGCATTCAAATAGAACCACTGCTTGGTAGGAATATTTTTCTCTGACTCCTGATACCAGTCTTCCATTCACAAGTACTGGATGTTCACATTTGACCACTGAAAAGTCGAGAAACTCTAGAATTAATGGAAAGCTGCTTTAACATATGATTAGAAAAAAATAGTGTCAAGGAGTAATTTCCAAAGGGAAGAAACATTCAAGGAATGAAAGGCAAGGTGTTAATTAAAAGAAAAAAGAAATACCCAAGAAACCTTTATACATATGCACATTTGAATTCCAAGGAAATGGATTTAGAGAAATCCAATAACTTTTTTCCACCAGAAAGACTGCCATTAGAGTTTATTGGCTTTCCTACGTTTTTTCCCATTACTGACAACTTTTCAGAAGGGTCTGACCACCACATACAAATTCGAGGCACGTTCAAGAGCAACCTTTGATCTTCATCAGCTCTAGGGATTTTTTTTAAAGGTCACGTTGACCCTGTTGCAGTACCCTGCTTTTTAGAGAGGTAGGAAAGTCTTTTCTGAGAAGGTCATACTTGAGTTCAAATTTAAAAGTTGAAAAGCAAGTAGCCATGCAAGGATATGCAAAAAGAAAGTTCTCAGGTAGCAACAACATACATAAATGGGGTGTTCAAGAAACAGAAAAGCCAATGGAATTAGGGCAGTGTTTTCCAAACGTCTTGGCCTGCGAGCCAAAGATCAACTTACCAGTTGTAAGCTGGTATATAAGCACACAGGCCTGAAATACAAGTCAGCCTCATACCAGCCTGCTCTGCTATTTCCCACTCTGCTCCACCTCTTAAGAAGTAAACATGGATGGAACTTGAGAGTGTTATGCTGAGTGAAATAAGTCAGGCAGAGAAGGACAAATACCATATGTTTGCACGTATAGGAGGATTAAGAGGAGAAGAAGGGAGGAAATAGTTGGGGAGAGGGAGGGAGGCAAACCATGAGGGACTCTTGAATGCTGAGAACAAACTGAGGACTCATGGGGGTGGGGGGGAGGGAGGTGATGTGCATGGAGGAGGGCACTTGTGGGGATGAGCACTGGGTGTTATATGGAAACCAACTTGACAATAAACTATTGTAAAACAAAAAAAAAAGACGTAAACTACTGCTCATGACCTGATAGGTGGATTTCAGAATCTATTAATTAATCTATAATTAATCTTTTCACCGTTGTGCTAAACCACTGTTAACTGCAGTAATGATTTCCTTTAAGTTTGCTAGACATAATTTACATACCGTAAACCTCGACTTTTTAAGTGTAACGCCTGTGTGAGGTTTGACAAAGACAAATAATCATGTAATTACCACAATAAAGACACAGAAAAGTTCCATTGCCACCCAATAGTTCCTCATGCAGCTCTGTAATCAACCCTTCCCAACTCCACAACCACCTTCACCAACCAGTCGAATACTGATTTCTTTACTATTCCTAAAGAGCTGCTTTTCCAGAATGTCGTAATGGGATCACAGCCTCTGAGTATGAGTTATTTCACTTAGCATCATGCATTTGATAGTCATTCCTATTGCTGCTTGGATTAGAGCTCACTCCCTTTGATTGCTGAGTATAATTGCATTGTATGGTTGTAAAATGGTTGTTTGCCATTCGTGAGCTGAAGGACTGGTGGGTTGCCTCTGGTGTGGGACAATTATGACTAAGGCAGCTGAATATTCTCACACAGGTTTCTCTGTGAACCTGTTTTCATTTACTCGGATTGATGAGTTGTACGGTAAGGATATGTTTAACTTTATAAAAAATGTAAAAATATATTCCAGAGTAGTCATACCACTTTGTATTCTTAGCAGCAATATTTGAAAATTCCAATTGTTCTATATCATTGCTGGTACTTGGTATTGTTAAGTTTTTTTTGTATTTAATTTCAGTTGTTTTATCAGGGGTGTCGAGTGGTATCTCTTTGTGGTTTTAAATTACATTTCTATAGTTACTAATTATATTAAGAAATTTTCATGTACTTTTTTGACATCTGTATATCATGTCTGTTGAAGTAGGTCTACTCAAATATCTTATCCATTTTTTTAAAATTGGTTTGTATTCTAAGATTGAGCTTGGAGAATTCTTTATGTATCCTATGATACATAAAGAATAAAAGTTAGATAAGTTATTATCTGATACATGCTTTGCTAATATTTTCTCCCGGCCTAGTACTCTTTTCTCCCCCTATTCCTTTAACAATTCTTTTGCAGACCAGAAGTTTTGAATTTGGAACATCCAATTTTTTTTTCCTTAAAGGATCATATTTTATGGGTGGTATTTAAGAAATTTTTGGCTAGGTCACAAGTACTTTGTATGTTTCCTTGCAAAAATCTTACAGTTTTAGGTTTTACATGTAATTCTATGATTCTTTTTTTCTAAAATTTATTTTTAATTTTTAAAAACTTTAATTGCTCTTTTATTTTTTTAGTATGAGAATTACACATCAGAGTTCAACAGGTAGAATTCATTATCCAAAGAAACATAAATCATTTTCAGTTTTTCCTTTTTTATATATTTTTAACTTTATTTATTTAAATTCAAGTTAGTCAACATACCGTGTAGTATTGATGTCAGAGGTAGAATTCAGTGATTCATCGCTTACATACAATACCCAGTGCTCATCACGACAAGTGCCCTCCTAAAGGCCCCTCACCCATTTAGCCCATCCCCCCACCATCCTCCCGTCCAGCAACCCTCAGTTTGTTCTCTTGTATTTAAGAGTGTCTTACGATTTGCCTCCCTCTCTGTTTTTATCTTATTTTTCCTTCCCTTTCTCTATGTTCATCTGTTTTGTTTCTTAAATTCCATATATGAATGAAATCACATGATAATTGTCTTTCTCTGACCTATTTCCCTTATTGTAGTACACTCTAGTTCCATCCATGTTGTTACAAATGGCAAGATTTCTTTATTTGATTATGAGTTTATATACAATGTTACATTAGTCTCAGGTGTACAACATGATGATTCACCATCTCTGTATGTTATGCTGTGCTCATCACAAGTGTAGCTACCACCTGTCACCATACAATATCATTGACTACACTCCCTATGCTGTACCTTTTATTCCTGTGACATATTCATTCTATATTGGGAAACCTGTATCTCTCACTGCCTTTCACCCATTTTGTTCATCTTTCCACCTCTCTTCCCCCTGGCAATCATCCATTTGTTCTCTGTATTATAGGTCTGATTCTGCTTTTGTTTGTTTCTCCATTTGTTTTTCAGATTCTACATGAGTGAAATCATACGGCATTTGTCTTTCTCATTCTGACATATTTCACTTAGCATAATACTTCCTAGGTCCATTCATGTTGCAAACCACATGTTTTCATCTCATCCTTTTTATAGCTATGTAATATCCCCCCCCCCCCGTGTGTGTGTGTGTGTGTGTGTGTGTGTGTGTACATATATCACACCTTCTTTAGCCATTCATCTCTCGATGGACACTTGTTGCTTCTGTATCTCTATTCTAAATAATGCTGCAATAAACATAGGAGTGCATATATCTTCAAATAAGTGCTTTCATTTTCTTTGGGTAAATACCCAGTAGAAGAATTATTGGATCTCTATGATTCATTTGAATAAATGTTTGCCCATGGTGCTAACATCAATGAAGGTTCCCTTTTTTTTTCGGCACATGGATATCCAATTGTATTGTACCATTTGTTGACAATATCATCATTTTCCCACTGAATTGCTTGTATACCTGTACACCTGAAGAAAATCAACTGGACATATTGGCAGGTATCTAGTTCTGGACTTAGTATTCTATTCCATTGCTCTATATGGTTATTCTTTTACCTATACCACATTGTCTTGATTATATGCCTTAAGTATGGTTTACGTTAAGTCTTAACATCAGGTAGAGTGATTTGTTTTTTCAAACTTATTTTCACTATTCTAGCAATTTTGTCTTTTCACAAAAATTTCAGAGTTAGTTTAGTTTATACAAAAAGTTCTGCTGGGGGACACCTGGGTGGCTCATCAGTTGGGCGTCCAACTTCGACTCAGAGCATGGTCTCATGGCTTGTGTGTTTGAGCCCCATGTAGGGCTCTGTGCTGAGAGCTCAGAACCTGGAGCCTGCTTCAGATTCTGTGTCTCCCTCTTTCTCTGCCCCTCCCACTCATAGTATCTCTCTCTCTCTCTCAAAAATAAACATTTTTTAAAAAGTTCTTCTGGGATTTTTATTGGGATTGTGCTGAATTTAGATAAATTACAGAAAATTGACTATTAAATCTAATCTTCCAAACCATACCTAATGTATATCCCTTCTTTTATTAAGGATTTCTTCAGTTTCCATTATTAGTGTTTAGTAGGTTTTAGCATTAATATCTTTTGCATATATTGTTAGATTTATACTCAAGAATTTCATGTTTTGGAACTACTGTAAATACTTTAAAATTTTCAATTTTTTTTACAAATATAATTTATTGTCAAACTGGCTTACATACAATACCCAGTGCTCATCACAATAAGTGCCCTCCTCAATGCCCATCACCCATTTTCCCCTCTCCCCCACCCTTCCATCCACCCTCAGTTTGTTCTCTGTATTTAAGAGTCTATTGTGGTTTGCCTCCCTCCCTTTCTCTTTGTAACTATTTTTCCCCTTCCCTTCCCCCATGGCCTTCTGTTAAGTTTCTCAAGATCCACATGAGTTAAAACTTATGATATTTGTCCTTTTCTGATTGACTTATTTCACTCAACATAATATTTTCCAGTTCCATACACATTCTGCAAATGGCATGATTTCATTCTTTCTCATTGCCAAGTAGTATTCCATTGTATATATAAACCACATCTTCTTTATCCATACATCTGTTGATGGAAATTTAGGCTCTCTCCATAATTTGGCTATTGCTGAGAGCACTGCTATAAACATTGGGGTACATGTGCCCCTATGCACCAGCACTCCTGTATCCCTTGGGTAAATTCCTAGTAGAGCTATTGCTGGGTCATAGGGTAGTTCTATTTTCAATATTTTGAGGAACCTCCACACTGTTTTCCAGAGGGGCTGCACCAGTTTGCATTCCCACCAACAGTGCAAAAGGGTCCTGTTTCTCCACATCCTCACCAGCATCTGTAGTTTCCTGATTTGTTCATTTTAGCCACTCTGACCAGTGTGAGGTGGTTATCTCAGTGTGGTTTTGATTTTTATTTCCCTGATGATGAGTAACGTTGAACATCTTTTCATGTGTCTGTTGGCCATCTGACTGTCTTCTTTGGAGAAGTGTCTATTCATGTCCTCTGCCCATTTCTTCACTGGATTATTTGTTTTTCAGGTGTTGAGTTTGGTAAGTTCCTTATAGATTTTGGATACTAGCCTTTTATCTGATATGCCATTTGCAAATGTCTTTTCCCATTCCATTAGTTGCCTTTTAGTTTTGTTGATTAAAATTTCAATTTCTAATAGCTTATTGCTAGTATACAGACATATAATGGTCTTCCATATGTTGATCTTATATTTTGAAACCTTGTTAAAACTTCAGTCATTGGAATCTTCTATACAATCAAGTCATAAGTGAATAGAGACTTTATTTCTTACCTTCTAATGTGTATGTCTAATTCTTTCCCGTGCCTTGTTTTAGTAGCTAAGACCTCTTGTACAATGCTGGATAGAGTGGTGAGGGTGGATTTCCTTCTCTTGTTCCTACCTGGGGGAAAATTAGTCTTTTACCAGTAAGTATAATGTTAGCTCTGAGATTTTTGTTGATGCCTTTTATAGGAATGAAATAAAAGTTTGTTCAGAAATTTTAACCTGAAAAAGATGATGAATTCTGTGAAATGCTTTTTAAAAAAATATCTATTAAGCAGACCACTTTTTTTTTTATTATTTATAGTCTCTTGAACTAGTAAATTATACTGATTAATCTTTGAATTTGAACCAATCTTGTATTTATGGGATAAACCTTACTTCATTATGATGTATTATTATTGTTATATATGGCAGGATTTGCTTTGTTATATTTTGTTGAGAAGTTTTGGTTCTGTTCATTAAAGATACTGTTTATAATTTTCTTGCAATGTTTTTGTCCAGTTTTGGCATCAGGATAATGCTGTCCTCATGAAATGAGTTGAGAAGTATTCTTTTCTCTTATATGTCTTTAAAAGCATTTTTTTATTATTGTTTTTACTTTTAAGAAAGAAAGCATGTAGGAGGAGCAGAGAGAGAGGGACAGAGAAGGACAGAGAAGGAGATAGAGGGCAAGAGAGAGAATCCCAAGGGGGCTCCTTACTGTCAGCTCAGAGCCTGACATGGGGTTCAAACTCAGGAACCATGAAATCATGACCTGAGTTGAAACCAAGAGTCAGATGCTTAACCGACTGAGCCACCCTCTTCTCTTATGTCTTGAAGAGCTTACATGAAGGTACTATTATTTATTCCTGAAATGTTTGTTAGAATTCCCGAGGGAGGCTATGTGGGCCTGCAGTTCTCACTTTGGGAAGGTTTTTGTTTTGTTTTGTTTTGTTGTTTTTTAATGTTTACTATTTTTGAAAGAGAGATAGAAAAGAGAGAGAAAGAGAGAGAGGGCAGAGCAAATGTGAGGGAGGGGCAGAGAGAGAGGGAGACACAGAATGTGAAGCAGGCTCCAGGCTCTGAGCTGTCAGCACAGAGCCCGATGCAGGGCTCAAACTCACAAACTGGGAGATCATGACCTGAGCCAAAGTCTGACACTCAACTGTCTGAGCTACCCAGGCGTTCCTGTGGGGAGGTTTTTAACTACAGGTTCTATTTCTTTAATAGATATAAAACTACTCAGGGGTACCTAGCTGGCTTTGTGGGTATAGCATACACCTCTTGATATCAGGGTTGTGAGTTCAAGCCCCATAATAGGCACAGAGCTTACTTTAAAAAGGAGGAGGAGGAGGAAGAGGGAGAGGTGGAGAAGGAGGTTATGTATATCTTTGAATAAGTTTTGGTTGGTATTTTGTGTCTTTGAAGGAATTTGTCAATTTCATGTATGCGTTGCCAAATTTATAGATGCAATTTGTTTTCATAATATTCCCCTCTCTCCCCATAAACATAGGTAGGATATTTGGTGTTGTCCTCTTTTTCATTTTTGAAATTAATAGTATCTTTTTTTTCTTTCAGTCTGGCTGTAACTTTATCTATTTATCAATTTATTGATTTTCTCCACGAACCAGGTACTGGTTTCATTAATTTTCTCTTTTCCATTTCATTGATGTATTTCTAAAGATATTATCTCCTTCCGTCTCTTTGTTTAGAGTTTAATTTGCTCTTTTTTAGAAGCACGGATTAAGGCTTTTTTTTTTTTCTAACATTAACAATTTCATGTTATACATTTTCCTCTAAGCAATGTTTTTGATGTGTCAGATTTTGATAGTTTGCTATGCTGTGTTTTCCTTTTTATTCAATTCAAAACACTTTCTAAATTGTCTTAGGATTTTTTCTTTGATTCATGGGTTGGTTAGAGGTATCTTGCATAATTTTCAAATATTTGAAGATTTTCTAGGTGATTAACCTGTTTTGATTTCTATATTCATTCCACTGTCATCAGGTAATGCACTCTGAATAATTTCAATTTTTTGAAATTTGTTAAAAGTTATCTTGCTCATTGTAGACCATGTTCCATGTGCACTTGCAATTATTCAGTGGTCCCTTTCTTCCAAGAGTCAAATCCCCTCTAGTGACCCCCTGCTTTTGCTCACTCTCCAGAGTCTTCATCATTGTTTGTTAAATATGTTTTGTTCAGAGCTTATCAATCTTGGCTGTGAGAGGCTTAGTCTTTTACAATTTAGTGTCTCGCCAGGACTCTCAGACATCTTGTAATACAAGAAAAGATTTCTTATTCTTAAGACAGTATACGTTGAATTTTTGAGTTCTTTCAAGCAAAAATTCCCAACTCATGCATATATGCAGCAGTTCACAATGTGTGAACTAGACTTCTGAGGACACATGGGATGGGGAGTGGGGAGCTCTGTAAGTAAACCTGATTCGACTTTACTTGTGTGAATTTCCACTGGAAGTCAATTTTACAGGAGGAGGAAGCCCATATGACTGTTTTGTTTACTTACAGATAAAACTATTTACAAACTGTTTCCAAACTTATAATGAACAAATGAAGAAGGGAATAAATGGAAATATCATTACCTTTACACTGAGGAGGGTCACTGCTCCACCTGTTATTCCCAATACAAATAAGTTTGCTGTCTCCAACAAGTGAAAATTCATCTGATCCTTCTGAAGGATTACAAGTGAAAGTTATTAATTCATTATATTCAAATATAGTTCTGTGGCTGTTGCTGTATTTTCCATTTCTTATTGCTGCAGGTGGTTGGCAGTAAATCTCTTAAAAAGGAAATAAAAAGAGGAAATAAAGGGCAAAAGGAAAAGTGTTAAGATAGCATTATAAATTCCTATGAACTGCCTTCAGCAAATTCATGAACATGATTTCTACAAGCTGTCTATTTAGGTTTCTATGAGAAAATGTGTTATATTCAAGTTCAAGCCATCTGCAAATGAGCTTTCAGAACAAAACTCGTTTTCTTGAATACCTCTATGAAAAACCTGTTCTTACTTTATAAGGTCATGCTAAGTTTTGTTCTAGTCTCATTACTGAAAATGTAATGAGAAAAAATGCTTGTGATTAAAAATAAAATTCACTGTTATTTGAGAAATTCTTTATAATATTTAAATATATCTTTGCTAAATGGGTGTTCACAATAATACCAAGACATTGTCGTTCTTTACATCCTTATGAATGTACTGTGAAATTTTCTAAGTTATAGATTGTGAGCTTTCACAACAGACTGAATCCAGATGTCCTTCTTTAAGCCAGATATTAAAAAGATTTTCAAAAAATGTAAAAAAAAGTCATTATTTTCACCATTTGTTTTGGAAAATTATGTCTCATGAAAATGTACATACATTAATACGTATCGAGCTTACTGTTCTTAAACAGGAGTGAATATATAATTATTTTCCAAACTTCTTAGTTTTTATTCCAATATAATGAATATCAATAATACATCCCGCATAGAAGAAAAGCTCTTTAGGATCTTTGACAATTTAAAAGTTTAAAGGGGATATGAGGGGTAAAAAAAAAAGCCGAGTCTTGCTGGTATAAATTCTAAATCGAAAATTTACTTACTTTTACATTCTGGGGGTTTGTCACTCCAATGCACTTCATTTCCACGAAGTTTACAAACTATAACTTGGTGTCCAAGTAAGTAGTAACTAAATAGGGGGAAAAACACTTGCTGTTTTCTCTATTAGTTAACAAGGTGTACATAATAATAAATTTTAATACTTTCACTTTTCTACACTACAGTAGTTTGAAGGAGAAGTTTCTTAAACAAAATACACGGTGAAAAGTGCTAACCATATCTGCACTTAATTAAACACAGCTTCGACATGTGAATACGCACTGACCAAAAGCAAAAAGGTCTTGAAATAAATCTGTCATGCCTGTCAGTCTGGTCTCTTTGCTATCTCCAGCAATCACATTACACATTCATTTCTATGCCTATGCTCACTCCATTCTTCTCAATAAAAACAACTGAGTGGAGAGTTGAGGCCCCAGTGCTTGCCTGCCTGGATCTGAGTCCCAGCTCCATGAAATACTTTCTATTTCAGCTCAGGCAAGTCCCTTAATGTTTCTCTTGTTCGGCTTCCTCATCTATGAAAAGGGAATAATAGTACATGTTTCATGGGATTGTTAGCATGAGTTAGCATGCTGGTACAGAATGAGTGCTAGGTAGTTTTTAGCTCTTACTAATATTTTTAGAAGAATATTTTTCTGGGAGTAGTTCAGGAATACTACATAATGAAATTTTCTCTCATGATTTAAATTCACAGTACTCTCTTCTACTGGACTTTATTGTAGTAACCATGAATAATTCTATTTATTTGCTACTTCTCATTAATTATTTTGCTTTGACACCTCTCTGTGTACATTGGGTTTCTCAACAAGCCTACAACTTCTTTGAGAAAAGAATATGTCTTAAACTTTTGGTATCCCTCAAGCTGCCTAGCAGGCTCTCTCTATATAAGTACTTGATTGGATATTCCAGTATGTTTACTTGATCAAGTTAAAAAAATAGTCAGTGAAAATGTCTATACATGGATGCAGTTGCCTTTTCTCCCTACTTTAGTATTTGGGGGAGGATTCCAGGAAAACGGCAGAGTGGGAAGTGCTAAGAACCCATCTCCCCAACCATATAACAACTTCAATGGCAGAATCTGTCATGTGTAACTACTTTGGAACTCTGGAGTCTGTTGGTGGCTTGCAACTTTCCAGAAAAGACTTGGACAGGTAAACTGCACTCATTGCAGTCAATTTCATCTTAGCACAGTGTCAAGTACCCATCTCCTGCCCCCAGCAGGCAGCTGTGCATGTGTTCTTAGAGCAGCTTAGAAGCAGTTTGGTGGATCAGGCGTGGACAAAAAGGGCCCTGTCCTCCAAATAGCAGGGATCTGTGCTCTTATCACTGAATTCTGCTTATGATCCCAGAGAAGTAGTCAATGAGGTTGGCAGCCACCGCTGTCACACCTACCCCTAACTCTTTTAAGCCCCTTCCTAATTGGCTGAAATGACTTACAGGGGATTTAAAAATCCAGGGTTCTTTGATTCCCGTTGCATTTTCACTTTTCCCCTCTTAGGAGCCAGACATTAAAGATTATTCAGAAACATCTTAATATGTGAATAAAGTTAAAAAGTGAGTGTGCACGGCCAAGGAAAGGCTCAAAAAAGTCTGAGAAGACCTTCAGTTTAAATATCAGGCTAGACTTCAACAGAGATATCCTACAACATTCAAAAACAAAACAAAACATGAACAATAACATAAAGCAGCTGGCCATAGGGAAAGGAAAGGATCTGATTTCCAGAGTTTCAACATTATTAGATTCAAGTGTCCAGTATTCTACAAAAAAATCACAATATATACAAAGAAACAGGAGAGTTTGGCCCATAGAAAAGAAAAAAAATCAATGAAAACTGTCCCCAAAAAAGACCTTATGGCACTTTTACTAGACAGAGACTTCAAAATAACTATTCAACATGCTCAAATAACTAAAGAAAGAACTGGAGAAAGTCAAGGAAATGATGCATGATCAAAATGGAAATGTCAATGGGGTGACAGAAACCCTAAAAAGAAACCAAAAAGAAGTTCTAGAACATAAAAGTAAAATAACTGGAATATAAAAACTTCACTAGAGGAATTGAATGCAGATTTGAGCAGGAGAAGAAATCATTGCACATGAAGACAGAGCAATGGAAATTACTGAGTCTGAGGAAAAGAAAGAAAAAAGAGTGAAGAAAAGTAAGCAGAACATATGGGACCTATGGGACACCATTAAGTGGACCAATATACACATTGTGGGAATCCCAGAAAGAGATGAGAGATAGACAGGGGCAGAGAGAATATATGAAGAAATTATGGCTTACAACTTCCCAAACTTAATGAAAGACATGAATATATTAGGGGTGCCTGGGTGACTGAGTCAGTTAAGCATCCAACTCTTGATTTGGGCTCAGATCATGATCTCGTGGTTCATGGGATGGAGCCCCCATGTCAGGCTCTGGGCTGACAGCATGAAGTCTGCATGGTATTCTTTTTCTTTCTGCCCCTCCCTCACTCTAGCACACATGTGCTCTCTCTCTCTCTCTCTCTCTCTCTCTCCGTCTCTCTCTCTCAAAATAAGTAAACTTAAAAAAAAGACATAAATATAAACATACAAGAAGCTCAACAACCTCCAGGTACAGTGCACTCAAAGAGTAACTAAGACACAAAATAGTCAAACTTTCAAAAGACAAAGACAAAGAGAGAATCTCAAAAGCAGGAAGACAGAAGTGAGTCATCAATAAGAGATCCTCAATAAGAGTATCAGCAGATTTCTTATCAGAAGCTTTGGTGGCCAGAAGACAGTGGGACAATATACTCAAAAAGTACTAGAAGAAAAAAAACCCTGTCAACCAATAATCCTCTATCCAGCAAAACTGTCTTTCGAAAGTGAAGGGGAAACTAAGACTTGATAGATACACAAACTCCGAGGGATTCATGGCTACTAGACATTCCCTGCAAGAAATAAGAAATGCTCAAGGGAGTCCTCCAAGATGAAGTGAAAGGATACTAGAAAGTATCTTTGAGCCATATGGATAGATAAATATCTCACAAAAGGTAAACACATGGGAAATTATTACAGCTTGTATTAATATAACAATGGCTTATAATTGCAATTTTTATTTTCATTATACCTTAAGAGCCTAATACATTTAAAGAAAAAAAAAAGAAACAATGAGTGAAACCATAGTATTACTGTAACTTTGTTTTTAACTCCAAATCTTGTTTTCTACATAATTGAAAGGACTATTTTAAAAGAAGTATAAGTTTATGTTATGGGACACACAATGTATAAAGATGTACTTTTGTGTAAAGATCAAATGGGGTGGGGATGGAGTGATAAGAGATAAGAGTTTTTGTATCTTATGAAATTAAATGGGTACAAATTCAAATTAGAATGTTTTAACTTTAGGATGTTAAATGTAATCCCCATGGTAACCACAAAGAAACGGCCATAGAATATGAGAAATGAGAAAGGAATTAGAACATTTTACTACAAAAAGTCAAACAGACAGAAAAGAAGACAGTAATGCAAGAAATGAGGGCCAAAACAGCTATAAAACATACAGAAAACAAATAGCACAATGACAGAAGTAATTCCCCTCATCAGTAATTACTTCAAATTTAAGTGGATCAAAACTCTTTAATCAAAAGACAGAGATTGGTAGAATAGATACAAGCACATGATCGCACTATATGCTATGTATAAGACACTCATTAGAGATCTAAAGATGAGAAAACGTTGAAAAAGTAAATGGACTAAAAAAGGTATTTCAGCAAATAGTAACCAAAAGAGAGTAGTGTTGGCTATACTCATATAACACCAAGTAGACTTTAAATTTAAAAAGATTATGAGAGACAAACGATATTATATGTTAATAGTTAAGAAAGGCTCATACAGCAAGAATATGTCACAGTTGTAAGCATTTATGCCACCTGATGACAGACCATCAAAACATATGAAGCAAAACCTGACAGAATTGAACAAAGAAATATACATTCCTACGAAATAGGCATTTCTACAGTAGTTGGAGGCCTCACTACCCAGTTCACAATAATGGATAGAACAAGCAGACAATGTAAGTAAAGAAAGAAATAGAGGACTTCAAGAATGCAACATTTCTGTAAATCCTCCTTCAAACCTGAGAGTTGGCATTTTAAATAGGGTATACTTCGTCAAGAATAAAGTCACCATGATTACTACAGTTTGATGCTTACAATAAACTTATTAGATATAGTATTAGACAATTTTGTTTTCCTTCAATATAAATTCCTTTGAATTAATTATGCATCGTTTCAGTCTCCATAAAAGGCCCAAGAGTTGTTTGGCGATAAGTGCATGTTGTCACATACAAAGCAAATATAATCAACTTTATGGGAATGCTTGAGAAGTGAAACAAAAATAGAATTAGTAACATTTACCTTATTTTCTCTAAGGAGCAACTTACCCCTCATCACAATAAAAGTGAGCTTCATGATCAAATGAGAAGGTTACATTTGGGGCGACAACTTCGCCATTTTCGAGTGTTAGCTTCTGACATGATTTTTCTAAAATAAAATTTAAAAAATTTTTCTAGTACCAGTTTCAAAGCAGATTTAAATCAAGGTCAATATTCAGCACTGCTCTCTGCAACTAATGCAATATTATTTTCTATAATGAACTGTTATGCAAACTTAAAATTCACATTTAACCAGGTGAACAGCTATTGCCAAGAAAAAGATCTCCTGGAGATTTCTCAAATTCTAGAAAAATAATTACTATCTGAAACTAATTTTTCACATGAGAAAAATTCCTGTAGTGGAAAATAGACCCTAATATTTGTAAAAATCTCTAGAGAAAACAATATATACATACTGTTCTGTTTACTTACTCATACAAGCTTCTTGGAGAGGATACCATGAGTGATTTTGCTCACAGTAAGCCATGACGGGAAATACAGTGAAGTACCCTTGATGACACTCATAATATATTCTCTCCCCAACTTCATAATACTTTTTAGGGGTACCCTTGAGCTTCATAGTTTCGAATTTTGGTGGGTCACCACAGGCATCTAGGGATAAGAAAATGAGAATGTGAAAATGAAGTATTTATCTCTTTCACCAGCCAAGGCTGTGGTCTGGCAGCAGATAGGTAATAGAATAAAAGAAGGAAAGATCCTTACAAGATTTTAATGATTCTACCATGCTTTTACCCAGGTAGTAGGAATATGTAAGACGTGCCTTGCTTGCATTAAATTACAATCTATTAGCATTTGATTTGACGGAGAATAAGCTGAATTTACATTCAACAATAAACTGAAGAGACAAAATAAATGTTCATGGTCTTAAAATATATATAGATAGGCAACCTTCCCCACTTGTATCTAAATTCATTTCAAAACTCACCTCTCTTCTAAGAAGCTTTCTATTGTATATAGCACTCTGCTCTGATTACTTTTTCACAATCTGAAACAAACTAATGATAACCTGTTATTTCAGGTTCAGTCTCTCTCAGAAGGCAAGTTTCTAGAGGTCAGGAAACATGTCTTCTCTTCCTACTATACTCTGTACACAGTGGATGCTTAATAAATGCTATAGTAACAGTGATTATTAAATAAGCATTACGTGGGGCACCTGGGTGGCTCAGCCGGATAAGCGTCCGACTTTGGCTCAGGTCATGATCTCACTGTTTGTGGGTTCGAGCTCCAAGCTCAGAGCCTGGAGTCCGCTTCAGATCCTGTCTCCCTCTCTCTCTGTCCCTGCCCCACTCATGCTCTGTCTCTGTCTCTCTCTCTTTGTCAAAAATAAATAAACATTAAAAATTTTTTTAAAAATTGAAAAAATAAATAAGCATTATGTATTTCATAGATCAAAATAAATACACACTAAAGTCTTTCAAAATATAAGGCTTCATTTCATGTTTCATGTTAGTGAACTGAGCTTCTCATAAGTGAAAAGCTGTCATTTAAATACCAAATTTACAGCTCTGAATAGCCCTACCTGAAAAAAAAAAGGTTGCTTTTTCAGGCATGATGTTAAATAAAAGTTCATCTTCCTGCACTGATCAACGGATCACTCATTCCTTCAGAAGCTCCCTGAGGTAGCTCTCTGAGCTGTTTACCCAATATCCACCTACAGAAAAGCTATGATATTGCTATGCTTTTAGAATTTGGGGGGAGTTAAGGGGAGTTTTTTTCCCCCTTAGAATAGTGTTATTTCTACTTCAGCAATTCCTCTTCCTTGAAACCTCATTCCTTGGAAATTCTCATTCCTTGAAAACTAAACAGATCTGTCAGAACAATTATGTAAAATAATATGATGGGACATATCCAGTAAAGTGCTTATGAGCTAAAAGGACCCAGAGATCTCTCCTATAAGGGTGATGACCTAAGAAAAAGCAGATAGATCTACTTTGATCTCTGAGGAATCTTTTCTTTCTTACTCCCTGGATCTCAGTCTTACCTCAGATTGAGAGACTGGTCAAGAGAACTCTACTCAAGTGAAATATTACTCTCCTTTCACACTGTATCCTCAATTCTAAAATTGCATCTATAAACACTGTCCAACATTTCCTGTACATCATATCCTCAAATCCACCTACTGGCAATATGTTTTCCACATTTCCACTATGCTGGCCAAGATATGTGAATGTTCCTCAATCAGCTGCCCAAATCAGAACAAAAGCAAAAAGCATACAAAAAGCCAGAGTAATTAAAAGCATTGTTTAAAAAAAAAGAGGATTAATATAGAGTTGTATTAATGACATTACATTTACTGAATACCCTGAGTCATTTTACAATAGGACAAAAAAGAAAAGCTAAAAATGCTAACTTATTCCATTGTAGATACAAATATATAATGTCATTAGAAATTCTGGAACCATCAAGAAAAAGATTAAGTAACAGTATGCCCCTGCTTGAATGATACAAGTATTCCTGTTTTATGCATTCAATTTCAGTAACTTTCTTGGAAGCAGATTAAGAAAATAGAATTCCAAATATGACTTTCATATACAGTGATCTGTATGGAAAAAGAAATATCAATTGGATAGTTTTAACTTATTCAACTAATTTGAAGTATTTCTTCCTTCGAACATGCATCATAAAAGACATGCTTTCAACAATATGCAGAGTTTATAATTTGGTTTGGCAACCATCTGATTATAAGCTTTATACCCTATAATAATTGAGACCAATCTTTTTTTTTTAAAGAGACTTTCTTCTTTTTTTTAATGTTTTATTTATTACAGAGAGAGAGAGAGACAGTGTGATCAGGGGACAGTCAGAGAAAGAGGGAGATACAGAATCTGAAGCAGGCTCCAGGCTCTGAGATAGCTGTCAGCACAGAGCCGGACACAGGGCTCGAACCCACAAACCGTGAGATCATGACCTGAGCCGAAGTCGGACGCTTAACCAACTGAGCTACCCAGGCACCCTGAGACCAATCTTATACTTTCTTTATAATCAAACTTCTTCTACTGCTCAGAATGTTTTTCCTGTGGGGATTTTGAAACAAACTATTCCCAGCTCCAGAAAAAGAGTATCTTGGCTTAGTTGGTTCTAGACAGTTTACAACATAATCACTATTACCCGGCAATGCTATACTTTAACAATAGATGCCATTTTATAATACCACAGGCAGCACGCAGAAAATTCCCCAATATTCCAAGGGAGTTTCAGGAGCATGAAATACTGCTCTACTATCGATCAAGACAACTGTTCACCTCTACACTTGGAAAAATTGTGCAAGCACTCCCTAGCCTTTCAGAAATTAAAGTAACTCCCAGACAGTGGCACACACCCACAGCTCTGCCCAAAATGCTACCTTCAGAAAATCATCATCTCCCACCAAGACTGTAATCTCAATGAAGCCTGACCTACCCACTATGTATCTTGTGTCTACACAAGTTTTTTAGTTTTGTTTGTTTCCTTAAAACATAGACTCTGGCATCTACACCCGTCAAGTGTATTCTCACTTCCTATTCACTTCTGAGTCTACAAAAAAAATCACTTAAATTACTTTGAAAGTCATTGTGACTCTCTTCTTCGTAAATCCACGTTAACAGTTTCTTGCTCAGTGATGTTAGTTACCCTGTGTATAACATCTGTAGCCATTGATCACTCGTAGCTCTCTCCTGCCCGAAATGATCTCTCCTTGGTTTCCAAGATAGCACACCATCCTGGTTTTCAGCTTGTCCTCTGGCTACCCTTCCTTCTTTGCCTAATTGGATAATGTGATGTTCCTAATCGGTGACTGTAGGAACTCTTGCTACTTCATTCTGCAGATCCCTCTGGGGGTGAATGTGCACACTCCCATGACTTCATTGCCACTGAGAAGACCTGCCTTCAAAATCCTGGTCTCCAGCCTCGAACTCTAAGCTGGGGCGCCTACTGTATATACTCAATTGCCTCCCTGAAACTATACCCCATAGGTGCTAATGAAGTTGAAACTAGCAGAAAACTGAAACCCTTTTTTTCCAGAGAACTGCCTCCCTAATCAGTTACTGTTTCTTTTTAACCCTACTAAAAAACTATGAGCTTTTTCTGCAGAAGCTAGATTCAAGGTCAAATGGATGACCAAGCAAGACCATACATTCCTTACCAGGGATAAGGAGTGACCTAATCCAGGTTAGACTGGCTCTCAGAACAGACTTTGTCCCTTTTCCTTCTCCTGAGAGAAGTGCATGAGGACAGGGGCTAAATTTTGCCTCCTTCTGATGCTAAGTATCCACCCCGAAGGGAACAAGGGAACGTGGGATGTATGCACATGGTCACTTAATGCACACGCTCCCATTCTCCTCATGATTAGTTGTGAATTTCCCCACTGTTTTAATCAATATGATAAATATGTATTTATCAATATAATCAATAACCCCATGATTATAAAAACACTTGTTCTCGCCTCCTTCAGAGAGGGGGATTTGAGGCTTGTTCTCCCATTTCCTCCTTTGGTTGCCTCTCAAATAAATTTTCCTTGCTGCAAAGCTGACGTCTTTGTGATTGCCTTTGCTGTGCATTGGGCAGACGAACTTGCTTTGGTTCTATCCCCACAGGCAGCACTTGGAAAGTGTCACGCTATCTCAAATAACATTATGAAGCCAGAGTGTGGCCTCTTGATTCTTCACACTCACGTATGCCCAGCAAACATGATAGACAGTCTTCGCCAACTGAAATGCCTCTTCCGTGTCTCTAATTCTGCCTTTCCTTTGAATTCAAATCACCACCATTTCTTATCTACATTGCTGCTAGCATTTCTGAATAGGCCTCCTTACCTATCTCACCACCTTTCATTCATTTCGTGTCTCACATTGCTGCCAGAGTCATGTTGATATGATACAGTGACCAGAGCTCTTCAAAGTCTGATACCTTTCAATGACTTCCCAATGCCCTCATGACAATGTCTAAGCCTCCTTATCATGGCCAACAGATTTGTCAAGCGTGTCTTTAGCAGGACTCTGCCCATTCTTGCATATGATTCTCAAGCCCTATCAATTGCTTGCAGTGTCCATTAAATTCCAGACCTCCATGCATCATTTAACTTTTTGACCAGAGACTCCACATCTCTGCTGCCCACTCATCCTTCAGCTTCAGCTGAGATGCCCCTTCTTATGGCTCTTGACATCTCTCAGCACAAAACTGGATACCTAATCATGATGTCCCATATGCTTCTTCCAGGGAATACTTCAAAGTGTTAGTCTTATTGCTTATACTCCCAATGAGGCAGTCATCTTCTGAGGACCACGCATGTGTGATTCGTCACTGCACTTCTAACACCTAGTGCCAGAGCTGAACAAGCGCCGTTAACAGTTCCATAGATTCCCAGATAAAAACTCAAATTCTTTTCTGCTCAGCTAACTTCTTCCAGAGATAGCGGCCAATTAACATTTCTTTCCCTGCTGTTTTATGCTTGTTTTCAACCTTTTTCGTTTGGCTGAATGACAACTATTTCTCTTTATCAGAGTATATAATTTCATTCATGTCAAACTATGATTGCTTTCTTGTTTTATTATGATCCCTTTCTCCATTACTGCTATCATTAGAAGAGGTATTTTGAGGGGCGCCTGGGTGGCTTAGTCGGTTAAGCGTCCGACTCTCGCTTGGGTCATGATCTCGCGGTTCATGGGTTCGAGCCCCACGAACTCTGTGGGGCTCTGTGCTGACTGCCAGCTCAAAGCCTGGAGCCAATTTCAGAGTCTATGTCTCCCTCTCTCTCTGACCCTCCCCTGCTCACGCTGTCTCTCTCTCTCTCCTCGAAATAAATTAAAAAAATATATTAAAAAAAAAAAAAGAAGAGGTATTTTGACATTGCAGAAGGTGAGCTCCAAACACTGGGGATTTTCTTTATTCCCAAAGTACAGTAATGAAAGATTCCATATCTTGTTTCTTAAAACAATGGTCGTGACATTAATAATGTTAGAAATTGCAAACATTCAACACTACTTGTGCCTACCATTATTTTAAGAGCATTTTAACTAACAATCTTCATACCCATCTAATGAGGTGGGCTCTATCTACTCTCCACCCCTCCCCTGTAAGATGAGCAAACTAGGTGCAGGAGATTAAATAACTTATCCAAGAAAATATTCCAGCAGCAGGCAGCCTGGTTCTGCTACCGACACTGCTTCCCACCACACTCATCTGAAACCCTCCCACGCTTACACCAGCACACTCTACAATACGGTCCTCAAGAAATGATCTTCTACTGAGTCTAGAGAAATTAGTAAACTTGGTTTAGATTTGCAATGTGCCAAGTCAAACAAAAGGACTCAAGGAACCGTCAAAGGACAGATACTAAATCCTATCTGATTTTTAATGATGGTGACTGGTCATTCCTGACTATCACATTGCTTTTTACAGCGATGTGCTCTGTGATCTAGTCCTCTGCCTCTCTCTCGCCTCTGAGTGCTCCTGCTGCCGCACCGGGTGGCTCCACAGTCCGTGAATGCCCTAAGCCATGTCACATCTCTAAGCCTCTGATCACACTGTTCCTTCTGCTCTGAACCCCTTTCCTACCTGCTCAGCTGCAAGCCCTGCTCAACTCTTGTCTTCTTACACTCAGTCCGCTCAACTGTTTCTCCAGCAAGCATCTTCCGCTTCCCCCAGGGGGCAGGGCCCTGGCCCCTTCCCTGGGACTGTCCTCTGCATGGACCTCTCAAGTCACTATCACATGTTTTTGGGTTTAATAGTTCCCAAGGCTACTCCATTCATCCCCCATGGCTGACTCCATTCATCCATGCAGCCATAACACCAAGCACACTGTGCCCCTCAGAGTGTGAACTAAAACAATACGGCACTCAAGGGACCACTGCTGCCAAACACAGCACCGGGGGGAAGACCATGCTCTCAGGCATCTGATATTGAAACTCATCATCTTTAAGCTTCAAGCACTGGAAAAAGATCTGGCCACATCATTTCTTCTGTCACCTGTCTCCCAGTGTCCTTTCTGTACCCTAGCAACTGACCAGATAAGGACTGTTCTCTGGGTTTTTTAATATGTAGAGTAAGGAAACTAAGAAACTACCATGTAAGCACATATGGAACTTGGCTTCTACAGTAAGAGGGAAATAAAAGACCTAACAACACCCCCCACAACAGGACACAGTGGGTTTTATCCAAAAAAAAAGCAGACCTCTTGGGGAAGAATGAGTCTGGTCCCGACCCTGGAAAACGTTCCCTTCTGCCATCTCCTGCAGCTGGCAACTGACCACCTCTGAGGTGACAGGCCTCTGGGCACAACGCTATCTGCCTACAAACCTCCTGAGAGCATGAGATGTTTCAAAACTGAACTGTGTACTCACGTCCTGTGTTTCCCTCCCAACATAATGACGTCTCATTTGCCCTTTCCCTAATTTCATCCGTCCTGATTTTACCTTTGAATCTTAAACTTGGCCTTGATTTTCTTTTTCTCCATTTCTAAGTTTTATTTCTTTCCATGTTGCACCCTGTTCATTTCATGTCTCTTTTCTCTCCTCCAAATAACATTCACAGTTTCCTTCCACATTTAGCTCTAAGGCTAATCTAAACTTGATGCTTTAAAATTTTTTTTTTGTTTTCTTATTACCACCACTGGCTCCTCTCCGCTCTACTCCCCACACACAGAAATGAACTGTTCGATGACCAGCAGCCAGCAAGACTATTGGGAGCCCTGCAGACTCTCCATAAACAGTAGGAGACACAGCCCCTCTGACAGCTGCCCCTGCCTTAGCTCAGGCGCCTCACACAGGCCATCCTAAGCATGATTCTTTAAAGAACCTTCCTCCTGTACCGTCAGCCTCGCCTGAATATTTTATTTAGTTTTCTGGTACTTAATGGTTAAACAAGAGTGTTGATACTGAGGCAAAAAATGGGCATCTGGAACCACAAGTGTGACAAGACAGAGGAGCTCTTTGCAGTGTAGCGGGGAGAGCAGAAAACAGTTTTGCAAGAGTGACTTCCGGTCAGGGGCGATTTGAGGTGGAGTGTGTGGGTCAACCTGAGACAGGGTGGTGAGAGGGGCCTTCTGAGGGGGTAACATCTCAACTGAGTGTGAAGGACAAGAAGGAGCCGCACATACAAGGGGCTGGGAGACGATGCTCCAAGTCTAAGGGAACAGCAAGGGCAGAAGCGCCCCAGTGGCAGAGTTAGCCTGTTTCACGAGAAAAATGTCCCCTGCCTCCTGTTGTTAAATGCTGTCAGAGAACCAAGCTCCTTTCCTCCAGGGCACCTCTCCGGGGTTAGAACCTATTTATTAAGTAGCGTGCTTGCTGTCTGCCGCTCCCAAGACATTTTAGCAACTATTTCTTGACTGCTGCTGTGTGCATGGCACTGGGGTTCTCACGGGGAGTAAAACAGTCACTGCTTATGCTGGTGTGAGTGCAAACTGATCAACAGTGAAAGAAGGGTCAGGAGGTTAGGAAAGTAAAGGTCGGGGCCCTGGGCCTTTGGGCCCGTTCCTGGACCCGCTCCAGCTCGCAGCCAGAGCGCACGTCTCCAGGCTCTTACCAGAATTTAGAGTGAGCAGGAGCACTGGGGCTACCAAAAGAATCCCGACCAAGCGCCAAGAAAAGCGCCTCTCGGGGAGGCAGGGACGGCGAGGGCGCCTTGCGCAGGACGCCATCATCCTCCTGGAGAGCTGTGGGACCCTGAGAGAAGGCAGAGGAGAGACCTCCTGGAGTCCGGCACCAGACGCAACAATCCCCCAAGTACCCAGGAGTCAGGCGCCGAGGCCGGGGGCGTGGCCTGGGCGGGGCTTGGGCGGAAGTGACTGATGTCCCCGGAGTGGGCGGGGCAAGTCGGTGCTGGAGACGGGGTCTGCGTTCCAGGCCGGTTAGACTGGGGTCGCGTCGCCGGGTGGGTGGGCGGCTGGGTCCTCTACTGCAGGCGCCCCACGGCGTCCCCATCTCCGACCTACGCGAGGCCCCGGGCTGCTTGCAGATCTCGGCCTGCTCACCGCCGGATAAGGAGTGGTGGAAAGGGAAGCGGAGCTGGCGGGGTCATCTTTGTCCCTTTTCTGGAGAGGAACGCTGCTTTGAGGGAGAGGCGCGTCGCCCTGGACACACAAACCCAGGGCCCCGCCAGCGGGTCGTCGTGGGGCCAGCACCCCTCGGGGCTCCAGTTGTGTCCTGAGGCACTCGGGACTGCCCGGGCCCCCCTGGGCCCTTGTTTCAAGAGTTGGCAGAAATCGGGCATATTTAGGGACAATACTTGTGATTTCTAGGGCTCAGCATCTGCTCTTGGATCTTCACAAGGCCTGCTAGATTTCAAAATCTCAAAGGTTTGGCCACTGCACTCCCAACCCTTAAAGGAAAGGAAGGGAGATGAATTATTAAACGACACCGGGCCATTAGCAAATTGGGTCTCACCTCTCTGGGGCCCTTGCCCTTGAGCAACTAGTGTTTTACTGAAGAGGAAAAAACATGCGTGAAAAAGGTAAGGATAAATAATATTAATTGCCAGTCTCCTATAAGTATTTAAAACCGTTATTGATGGGATGCGAGGAATTGCTGAGAGGGAGAGCTTTTCTGGTGGAACAATCTCTAATTGGAAAGTCAAGTGGAAAATTTAGAATCAGCCAGATCTACTTGTAGAGTTGTGATTAAACCTGTATAACTAGTAGGAGGAAAAGTAACATGACCTCTGTTAAAAGAGTTCACAAAAGGAGGTGACGTTTTCTTCCTATTAGCTGGCATAGAAGGATAAATGTCAACCAGCGTGAGTAAAACTATCCGGAACCAACACCCTCAAACTTTTAGCTTTTAATTTAACTTGTCCATATGATAAGTTTTCAAACGGACACGACTTTTAAACCACTAGTTCCATTTAGGGTTCATGCCAAAGAAATCATCAGAGCTGTGACCAAAGATGTATAATTTTGGGGAAAAAAACTAAGTGTCTAGCAAAAGTTTAAGGCATTTAGGATAGCTGGCTTTATGGTATGAATGTCTATGCAGCAAGCAGTGTAAAAAAAAAATCCATGTGAAAAAATATGGTATCTATGTAAGTGGAAACAGCAGATTCCAGTTCAGTACGTGCCTTTTGGTATTACTTTATTAAAACAAAAGTAGTATATTGATACATGTAAAAAGAGATTAGTTGGAAATATACTGAAGTTAACTAATACTGGATAGGATATTGGATATTTCATATTGTTTGTGCTTTTCAGTTTTCTATTGTGGTCTTATATTACATTTGGAATAAGTAAAGAAAAAAATTAAATCCAACATACATTTCAATTATTGTTGTTTTCATCAAATGGTACTGAGAAAAACCTGCATCGCAAAGAGTCATGGTTTGAGAGGATGGGAAGGACATGTGAGCTCTCTGCATAGACTTCAAATTCATATTCTGGAATTACAGAATTCTCTCTATATTTTTACAATTCTGTATCTGGAATGTACTGAAGACATTCTGGGTTCAACAAACCATGGAATTTCCTCTTCCCAGACCAAAACACTATTTTCAATTCTGGGTACAGCATGTAGGCCACAAAGTTGTGGATTGCTGAATAAAATCAGCCCCTGAGCTAGTATCTTGGAGTATAAAAACCAGACACTCCACGATGACTAAACTTAATTGAAGGAGGTATAATTAAGGAGACACTGGAAACTCAAATGAGGGAATTAGCATTTCTGGTAATTCTTAGAGTTGTAAGAGTGACAGGACAGAAATGTTGGGCATTATTTCTGAAAACAGAATCTATTATAAAAACTTCCACATTTATTTCTAGGCTTGGAAGTTGCATTTTCTCATGAAAAAAATTTAAAAGATGTGGAACAGTTTATGGCTAGTGTTTGGTTTCTTAGTTTCAGATACTAGGTTAGATTCAAGAATTGGGGTTTTACTGGAACGTTCAGTCAGTCAAGCTTATATACCTGGCATTCATCCAACCACTCTTAACATAATTGAGTACTTTCATGTTGATTAATTTATTTTCACATGGCCCAATTAAGGCTCCATTTGAAAGGTTCTGAGCCCCATTGTTCTGGACAAGCTCGGTGAGACAGGGGTAAGAGTTTTCTTGCTGTAGCTCCAGCACTTAGACAGTTCCAGGTCTGTAGTGGGTGCATAATAAATACCTGTATATACTGAATGAAATAAGCTGTGTTGCTGTCACGTGCCTCAAACATGTCTGCCAATTCTCCCCCAGCATGAATTTACTAAATACTGGGAAAGTACGGAGAGATTTTGTTTTAACAATGTCAGATACTGGGAGCGAAGTGGGGTTTGCCTCTATAAGGAATGAGCTACAACGGTCTGCACAGGAAACGTCCGGTACCAGGCAGTGCAAGCTGTGTTAGGAAGTGGCGCCTCTGTTTGTACCTGGTACGACCCTTAGCCTTGAGATCCTTTTAGTGACTTAGTTCAAAAGGTGAGTGTTGACAGTGAACTTCTTGAAGCCCTGACGGTACTGGCAGTCAAGTCAAGGCTTTGAGTGAAGTAGGGGAGTAAACAGTCGTGGTTTCTGCAGCTCCCCCTGAAGCCTTTGTCCAACTGCGGCAGTGAGAAAGAGGAGAGCATGGAGACCAGGCCCGTGTGTAGCCCAGGTGTGAGTTACGTGCTAGATCTGCTTTGAGACTGTATGAATGCCAGTAGGGTGGAGGGAGATGTGTGAGGATGCCACTGAACAGAGGCCAACTTCTGGAACATACATCGTGATGGTGGATGATTCCTGGCCTCCTAAATGAGTATATTTACATCATGCTTGTGAGAGGTGGGGGTAGCAGCATGAATGGGCCTGTCGTGGTGAATCCCACACTAGGTATTTGTGAAAACCTGAAAGAGAATGGCTAAGCAGAGGATAATTCTGCCTCCTCTTTGATGTTGGCCCTGGGAGCTGTGCCACCCCTGTTTGTAGCTGGTAAGCACCTGCCAGCCAGTTGACCTTCTTATTTGGCTGTTACCAGCAAGAGCATTCCTGTGGTGAGCCACTACCTGCACAGGGACTGTGAAGCCAATCAAGTACAGAAAAGAAGGCATTGCTTAGAAGGAACACATACTCATTTTGTTTACTCTTGGCTTTTGAAGGTTTAAA